GACCATGAAAGCTGCGCCACCAATGACAATGAGATGAGAGACGCCCTCGGGTTATGTTCATAAGGCAGATGGACGAGGGCAACGGCAATGGCAATGGCGATGGCGTCGGCGTCGGCGTCGGCTATGGCGATGGAGTGCACGTCGGGATCTGTTCTGTTGAAGGCGTCTAATCTCATTCATTTTGAATAAGATGGGCTCCAACGTATTTAGCCTGAGTACTTGTGTCAACACAATTCAAGACGGTTTCAAATTAAAAGGCCGTGTAATATGCTCCTCTTAGAGACTGTTTTTGTTTTGGTTTTTCTTCATTTTTTTTTTTGTTTTTTTCCTAGGTTGTACTTGCTTTGTGCCTAGGCAACTGTCAATAGTCCGGAGGCTGCCATCGGGACAAATTGCCTCGGGTTGACGTCAGCAACTTTTCGAGAAAGTGAAAGTAATTAAAAAAGTTTAGCTGAACGGATTTTCAAAAATATCCAATTGCTTAGCCAAACCAAATGCAAGTCTCTCAGAGGCAAGAATGAGAAGCTTTCTGAAATAAGCACACCCAGCCAAGAAACGTTTTTAAAAATTATATATCTATGTAACATTTTTAATTACATTACAGTTTTGATGGCGCTTCTCTGTACTTTAAATTTATAATTTCTTGATCTTTAATTAAGTCTATTATTATTAACTATACAAATTTTATATTTGCTTTCTTGTATTTGCTGTTATTTGGTTTTGACTTAGCATTTGGCACACAAATATTTCCTCAGAAAATAACAATTGCAGTTTGACAAAATAAATAAAAACAAATTTGTATTGAGTAGTTTGTTGTTTTTCAGATTTCAGGTTTTCAGGTTTCATTTAATTTACTTAATTTCAATTTCGTTTATCTTATTGAAGAAATTTTTTTCTTATTAATTTTCTGTATATTTTAAACTGCAAGCCCATTACTTTACCTTTTTAGGTTTCAAGTAATGATTTACTTTTATTAAGGACACGAAAATAACGTGGTAAATCAAAAATATATAAAAATTATAGCAACTAATTAAAAATATTATAAAAAGTTTTCCTATTCTCATTTTTTTTTGCTGAGTCTTGTCTGAAAAATTCTAAAAACCTTACTAAATACTTAAAATAGACTAGAATTGGAGAATTTACAACCTGCAGTAAGTGCTAAAATCAAAAGGTTTGCTTAAGTAACAAAAAAGTAAAGGTATAAAGATCAGGACACTGAAAACATATATTATTAAGGAAAATTTTTTGTTTTTCAAATTATTTCAATAAGACATCGAAAGAGCAAATGGCCATAAGATGGCCATATTTACATATACAATTTGTTCCTCCTCTTTGCTCTTTAAAAGAAGTTAAAGGCAACTCGGATATATGGGATTGGGGCATATTGACTTTACGCTGCCTGGAAATTGGCTACGTGACTTGACAATACGAAGAAATGACGATGGCGATGGCGAGTTCCACGATGTTGATGATGCCGATGATGATGATGATGATGGTGGTCCTGATGGTCCTGATGCGAAGAGCCGCATGAAATGCAAATTTGGTAACATTAAGAGTAAGAGAGTAGAGGGATGTGGAGTAAAGCAGTGCAGGGGAAGGGAAAATAACACAAGGACGATGAAGGAAAAGAAACAAGTTGTTGGCTTAATTTCGTCACAGGCAGCTTGTTTTCATTAACTGGCCATCGAGGAGCTCTCGACTTGGTTCCGCCGCTCGTTAGGCGTATGAGCAATCGATTAAGAATAATGTGCCGATGGATTTACAGTTCCAACAGAGAGCAATCAACATTAAGCGTTTAGTCAGGTTCTTTAAAAAATGGAATGGATATGGGATGATTTCCAATGGTTTTCAAATCGGAACATTATTTCGCTTTTTATGAAGAAATTTATGTTGTAAGGCCTAACATGGGCAGTGGCGCTTTATGAATTTCCACTAGCAAAAAGTATATTTTGAAATTGTGTAAAACTGTAACGGGTATCTTATAGTCAGGGCACTCGACTATAGCGTTTCTTCTTGTTTTTCATTGCATTCGCTGATCCCTGTCTTCCCTTTATTTGGCTTGATAAGCCATTTTCATATTTTTTAAGTCGTGGCGAATATTTGTATACCCTACATTCCTTAAAGGTTGTGAATAATAATAAAGACCCAAATGTTTGTTCATTTTATTTTAAATTAAGTAAAAAGTTGTACGTTTTAAATTTACGTTTTTAACATAGAATGGAAATAGTTTTACTAATGCGAGGCACTTTATAGTCGCTCACTGAAATGTAACTCCGGTTTGGTTCTTATCTTTTGATCGTGGAAAAGACATTTTTTGGCGAAAATATGAAACATTTTTGGTTTTTGCTTTTGTAGTTCTGTGTTTTTTAATTATTTTTAGAAAAACGATAAAACTCATTTGCCACGAGGCAGTGAGTCATCTAATATCTTAAAAATGTTTATACATACATATATGTACTGTTCGGATCAGGAGTAAGAAACAATTCATAAAATTTAATGTTTGTTTAGAGATTCATTTGTAAACAAATAATTACGATATAAGCAATGAAGTACACGGCGTTGTGGGGAGGTAGGCTCGTCAACAAAGAATCCTATCGTACGACGGCGGAGGCACATCTTCGCTTTGAAGTTGTTCATCGGTTGTCCTTGGCGTGTGTATCGGCACATTTACAGCTGCTTGGTACGATGGCGGCAATAGGCTGTCGCTCTCATCCATCCGGGCGCTGTTGATTTGAGACCTATTACTGGGTGTAAAAGTAGATCTCTGGACCTTCTTTTGGCAGGTTTGTATAATTAGAAAGACGAGCAGAAACATTGAGATTGGCGAGATCAGCAATAATGCGTTCCACATATCTCCACCCTGTCTGGATTTACACTCATCCAATTCATCTTGAATCCTGTTCCTTGATATATATACCATTGAACTATTTACTCTTAATTCGTTTAGTTCTCGAGTAAGTCCGACAAAAATGGCTTTATATGTTGTCTGTTGCCTTGCAACATAGGCTTTACACTCATCCAATTTATCTTGAATCCTGTTCCTTGATTCTATTAATTCGTTTTGATCTTGACTAAGTTTGTCAAAAGGGGTTTCAATTTTTGACTGCTGTTTAGAAAGATATTCGTTTAATTCTTGATATTTTGTCCGTAGATCATTGTTTCTGTTTTTTATTAGCGAAATTTCAAAACACAGATCGCGGGGAGAAGAGTCTACGCACGATATGCGACACGACACGATATACGAATTCCAAGCGATAGCCGCGAAGAAAACAAATATTTTTGATTTCAGCATTTTTGGAGCTCTCAACCTTTACATTCGAGGGTTTGAAATCTACTAATTTTTCATTGGCTGATCCACGCATTTCCCTTTATTTTGCTTGAGAAACCATTCCCATATATTTAAAGTCGTGGCACATTTATGTATACCCTTCTTGAAAGTTTTGAATAATAGAAAATATACATAGCACTAAAAAAATGCAAATATTTTTAAGCTGGTTTACTAAACTTAAAGGTTCTCCTTGGCCCTAACTTTTATATATATATGCATTTTAATATATGTGCATTTTAATATTCTTAAGTTGAATTTCTTCTTAAGATTATCTATGAAGACTTGATTTGTTTTTCCTACAACTTCACGATTCTTTTCACTGCTTTTCATTACTTTAATTCTAGAACAAAGTGAGTGGCGATCACTGCTATTAGAATATAGAAGCGTTGGGGAAATTTAGCATTAACATTTTTGGACTCCACAATCTTTAAAGTCGAGTAATTGGAATGTACAAGGGTACAAGATTATTTTACTTGATAAGCCTTTCCTTTAAAAAATTCTATAACTGATTTATATATTTTGCGTGTTATTGGATCAAGCATGAAGATTCTTTAGGCCCATACGCAGCCCACTCTCAGGAACTATTAGATCTATAAAGTTGATCTTTTACGTATCATGAGATACCAGAGAATTGTTTTTTTCCCATCCAGCTACGCCCTCTCTAACGCCCACAAACCGAGGAAAACTGTGGAGTCCGTAATATTATAGTGTATGTCTTCGTATGACCTTGTATAACATATTTTTGCCAATATCTATATATAATATGTAATATTACGGGTATCTTATAGTCGCGGGTGTCGACTATAGCGTTACTTCTTGTCTTTATTTAAAATTGAGAATATATTATAATATAAATTCATAGTCATCAAAATCATTAGCGATCCAAAAGACCAACCAATTTTTATTAATTTCTCTTAAGCCCAAATGCAAATTGATTTTTAATCCTTTTCCGTTTCACGAGTAAAACAAGAATAGGGGTTCCATATAGAGAACTGCAGTTAAAACAGTAAAGAAAAAAAAACACTTCTTTTTCCATCGTCGTTATGGATGCCACACACAGTTATATGCACAACAGGAAGTTGATTATTAAGTGCGTTCGCGAGTTGCTTCTCTTAATGCCTTTTGCTGCAGTATCGCACTCCTGCGGCATCCTTGCTGGTCCTTGTTGTTGCTTATGTCCGTCTCTCTCATGCACGTGTGCGAGTGCGCCTGTCGGCAAATTTCTTTATTGCGCTTTTATTTATCTGTCGGTGCCAGTTTCAACTTCGTTTACCGCTTCAATTTATCGACTCCATATGAGGATGATTCACTGGTCCATAATGGGTGTGCGTTTTTCTGTCTCTTAGTTTCCAGCCTCAAAGGCCAGCAAATCATGCTGCATGTAATATTTAACTATTGACTAAGGATCTGGCAAATACAAAAAAACAGGCTAGGGAAGAAGATGGAACACTATAGTTGACTGCCGCGACAAACAGATACTCATCACTCAGCTAAGCGGTTTGTATAATAAATAAAGAAAGATTAAAGAAACAAGTTCATTTTATTATAGTTCTTACAAGTGGGCCAAATAAATTTGATAATTTAAAATTTTTATTCATTTTGTTATTTTTATTCAATTTGAAAATACTAATTCTAGTTTCAAAAAATTTTTACTTAATTAGGGTTAGTTTAAATATATTGCAATGAAGATTTCAGAGAAATTAAAAATAGTTCGGATTTATAAAATCAATATTTAAGCGAAGTAATATGGGAACAAATTTGAAGCCCCTTGTGTAACTAAGTATAACTAAGTAAACTATTATCGAAAATTGCCAAAAGTAATATTCAGCCAGGGCAATAATAAACATTTTTAACTTAAATCGCTAGAAAACTGCGTCGGAAATCGATGTCGCAAGAGTTCCGGTATCGCCCAATCTTCCGGTTGCTCATTTGCCGGAATCGGCGCATGGCCTCGTGGATCTCCGGGACACTGATGGGCTTGACCACCTCCATTCCTCGACCCTGTGTAACCTCGGGGCAGACGTGCATCATGGCCGGACTGCCGCCGGCAGAGGTCACTCGACTGTAAGGCTCGGTCACTCGGTTGCTCGAATTCAAACGCGTCAGAATCGAATAGTCAACAATGGCGGCTATTGTCTCGTGTGCCAAATAGGCCAGAATATTCATTGTGGGTGTGGGGATGCGCAAGTCAGCGGGCAGGTCTAAAAAGCGACGGAACTTGTTCTTGATCTTCTCTCCATGGCGACAGTAAAAGGAAGTTTTGCGAGCCTCGTTGAACTCGAGGTACTGCTGGCCCGTAAGGATCTGAGATATTCGATCTGCACGAAAGAGTCGCCGCATGCGATCCTCATCGTGCAGCTCATGCACGTCTATGGCCAGCTCCTCGTCCTCCTCCTTCTGCTCTAGGTCGTCCATAAAGTCCTGCGGCCTTCCAGTGCGAATGCTGAGGAACCTCTTTAGTATGAGCATATCCTTGAGGTGCTTTCGCATGCGAGCTATCTTTACTGGATGGTTGCGCATGAGGAATTCAAAGTCCGCCTGAGAAGGGCAGGGATTCTGCTTGCGGCGCATGGCCACTAAGGATGCCTCATTGAAGATGCCTCGCAGTTGCTGCTGCAATATTTGCTCCACTAGCTTGACGCTTGCTGTCCTCGGCTGATCGCTGTCTCCAAAACTTCGCATTATGTCCGCAATCTCCGTAAGAAGTGAAACAGGTGCATCGTCTGCTATCTGGACGTTGGCAACGTTGCTACTACAAGCGCCCCCGGATGAATTTTGTCCCGCTAAAGTCACCTGCTGTGGAGATGGAATCGGCGGAATGCTCGTACTCTGCAGAAGGATCACTTGACGCTGCTGCACATGAAGCGGCTTGATGTCCTCGGTGGTTTGCAGTTGTGGGGTGCTGGGCGCCGAGGGTGGGGCAGGTCCTATCATTATAGGCGACGATGCCAGGTCGTTTGATCCGATGCAAACCGAATTCTGGCGCATCACTCGTTTGGCATTATAATTCATTTTATTTATAAACAAAGTCGCCACTTCAATTGCAACAGCTGACGATTAGAGAATACACAAAGTCCGGTGTGCTAGAGATGGGTTATTATAAGGGATGGACGATATCTCAAAGTGTGAATATAAAATCTATGAGATTTTCATTATGATTATTATTTTTGAATGGAAAATTGTTTTTTTATTTTTAATTTTCGACATACACCCGAAAAGCATTCTGTAATTAACGAATGCCTAAGTCATACATATTGTAACAATCAGCGTGTGTCACAATAAAATAGTCGGTATTGTCGAAACTATCGGTTAACCCCAGTTCAACCCTGTTCACCAAAGAACCAGTCGCTCCGCTCTAGTCTACGCACCACCATTTTTGTTTTTGGGAATGATAACTGCACAAGTAAAAGACAACAAATCGGATTAAACAATCGCCTTAAGATGTTCAACGGGATGGTGAGAACCATTCGCGACAGCGTCGTGGGCACCTACCCATCCTGTCACGTGTCCTCGCGACTGGAGGAGCGCCGGGCTAAACAAAGAGCGATGCGCCAGGAGCGCAGAAGAAAACCGGATAAACCGGACGATTTTGTTACCTATGAGGACTCGGGCAGTGACGAGGAGACGCCCCAGCAGCAGGAAGAGGTCCTGAACACGTCGTACAACCTATGCGACTATCTGCGCAGCAGGGAAAGCGGTCTCCGTGATGTGGGTCTATCTTCTGCATTTGCAGCTCTCGGATTGCTAACGTGAACTTTGTTCAACCTTTCTTTGCAGAGAAGAAGCGTTAATGTGGAGTACACCAGCCGCTATGTGCTGACCCATGACATGCTGCGCGAGACGCAGATCAGTCTGGGCTATATTAACAAGGTCTTCTGCTCCAAGTGGCTGAGCAGTCGTCAAGTTGTTTTCGGGACCAAGTGCAATAAACTGCTTGTCTACGATGTAAACATGCGTCGCGTGGACGCAATTCCAACGCTTTCCAACAGCCGTGCAAACCACCCGGAGGTCCAGGGTGGACTGCACGCCATCGAGCTTTCGCCTAGCCGCTCCTTCTTGGCCACCGGTGCACGAAATTCTTCCGACATCGCAGTGTACCGCTTGCCCACTCTGGACCCTGTATGCGTAGGAGAGGGCGGGCACCGTGACCTAATCATGGGTATGTGTTGGCTAGATGATCAGTTTCTGGTATCTGGGTCGAAGGATTCGCGCATGGCTCTATGGCGCATCAACGAGGACCACATGGAATTCCCGGATGGCGGTGAGGAGGCGTGTCCCACCTTCGCCACAATCCATCCTCTTAGCGTTAAGGAAGTTCGCACTGCCCAGAGGGTAAATTTTGTTTTGCATTTGAAGTACTTTTCTTTTGACATGATGATCATTTTCAGATCCGCTCGCTTTGCTTCAATAAGGAGTTCAAAGAGATCGCCGCCCTCTCCTTGAACGGTTACATTCACATTTTCAACGCGGAGACTTTCAAGCAGACTCTCTCTCGCAAGCTGCCAAACTGCCAGGACAACGTGAGCATTGCCTATCACAGTGATGGACTTTATGCCGTTGGTTGCCGTTCCTATACGATCCTGCTTGATGCGCGCACACTACAGACCATCAAAAAGATCACATCTCGATACAGCGGCTGCGGGATCCGAGCAACATCCTTCGAGGGCAACCTCCTAACAGTTGGCACAGGCTTGGGCATGCTTCTGTTTTACGACATCCGCGCCGGAAAATATCTGGAGAGCAGTGTCAATGCCTCACGAACAGTCGCATTAAAATGCAGCAAGGGAATTGTGGTAAGTAAAGATGTTATAGAACGGTTATCGAAAGGTAAAAATTTGATATCGTATTGCAGTACCCAGAGGACGAGATGGATGGCTTCCAGCAGGTAAAATACGTGCCCGCCATCTACACTCACTGCTACGACAGCACCAGAATGCGCCTCTTTGCAGCAGGAGGACCACTGCCAGCCACTCTGGTAGGCAACTACGCGGGCGTTTGGCAATAGTTTAGCAAGGGATGCAAACCGGGCTCACATTACTGATTAGTCTTTAAGTAGTTATCGACTTGTGATCTTAATTCTTTTGGCGCAATTCGGTATAAAAAGTACATATGTATTCCGCCAAAACCAAATTTTTAATTTAACTTCATTTACTTAGCTTTGGTTTTAATGAAAATCGCATTAGGTTTATGTTAATGATATTTTATATTGTGTGTGAACAATATACACCGTTCATAAGTGTACATTTATCCATAACTACTGATCCTATTTATATATAGTACATACAATACAAGTAATGGAATACTAATTTTTAGACAATGCAGCTGATTTATAGTCTGATCTATATGGTAATAGAATTTCAAATTAAAGAAACCATTGAATAACCGATCGTTTTTAAATACGTAGAAGGGTTTCAATCTATAATGCGTATATTGCCGAGAGTGCTGTATAGGGCGCTCAACATAACGAATATGAACATATATAAGAGTGTACAAAGTACGATTTGCCAAACAGCAACGATCAATTTTAAAATACATTAATATAAAAGGAAATTGTACAAGATTTACAGAATGTATGCTATACGACTGTCCAATGACTGGCGACTATCCACATCCAACAATACCAATAATTATATATATATCTTATGATGTCAGCTAGTTGTTGTTATTTGGGCTGCCACCTCCACTCCACGCGCTCAGGAATCCTGTCCAGCTGCGACTGCTGCCATCTGGAGATACTGAAAGCAAAGAATGATGATGGGAGTACAAAAAAACACTTTGAAATAGTTTAAATATCAATTATACCTTTTTGCCCCTTGGCCACACAATTGAGCATCTCCATTTCGTTGCGACTTAAACGGAGAATGGTATTAAGAACGGGAACCAAACGCTGACGCTCGTCCACATTGTTTAGTGTAAGGAACTGCAAATATAGATTTTAGTAAACAAAAAACATTTAAACGAATCAAAACTGTGAATCAGTTTCTTATTAAATATCCCCACCTTTAAGAAGACGTTCTTCAAATACTCGGAGTTATGCATGTGCTGTTCCCGCTCCTCAGAACGCTCTTGTCGCCGCAATTCCTCCTTTAGCATGTCATTCATTTGGGTCAGTTTAGCCAAATCCTGCTCGTTTTCGGCCAACAAGGAAGTCAAATGCTTTACACGACTTTCTTGGATGCCCAGACGTTCTTTTGTGGCTTGAAGTTGGGCACTCTGGACGGAAAAGTCACCGCGTGCGGCCATTTCCGCTTCTTCATCTTCCTGCTGGGACACGCTGCGTCCGAAATTGGTGATGGTAGTTACAGTATCGCTGGTTATTTGGTTCATTGAAGTGTTGAGCAGTTCGTCTAGTGGCATGAAGTCATGCGAGCGTCTCGAGGCAGTGGAGATTTTTCGCTGAGCAGCCAGTTGTGCCAGCGAGGCGTCGCCAACATGGCTATCCAAACCAGATTCGTGGTCCATAAGCAAGTAATCGATCTTGGCCTGCTCTGGACTAGGCTCTCCGCTCACGGCGGACACGTTGCTATGCTGGGAGACGTTAATCTGCTTCTGCTGCACTTCTTCCAGCTGTTGCTGCACCTGTTTTAATTGCATCTGGTGCCCGGCGTCCATTTGATCAACCGTTTGCCGATGCTGCTGCATCAAGTCGTGTTGGAATTGCATCTGGCGCTGATTTTCCAGAGATAGAAGATCATTTTGCTGTCGCAATTCGTCCACCAATGACAGCAACTCCTTGCTGCGTTTCTGCAGATCAGCGTTGTCTTGTCGCAATACCTCTATCTGTGTGTCCATCTGGGCCAGGCGAGCAGCTCTTCCGTCGTTGCTCTCTCGCAAATTGCGTTCACTCTCTCGAAGCCCAACTAACTCTTCTTCCAACTCCTGTTCTCGGTTTGAGCCCTTACTTTGGTTTTTTCGCAGCACCGACTGTGCTTTCAGCTTGTATTCTGTGTACTCCACTCGGAGATCCTCCTGAGCGCGTTCCGCATTTCTGAGTGCCGTCTCCAACTGCTTTTGGTCCGCCAAGTGCATTTCAAGCTCCTGGGTTCGGGTGCTTAGCTGTTGAGTTGCTGTAATTAGCCTGGATTCATACTGCTGTGCGCTTTCCGCCAGCTGTAGACGCAATTGCTCTGCCTCCATCTTGGCCTTCTCAACTCCCTGTTCCAAGTCCTTATTTTGGGTGAGCGCTTGCTGCTTGCTGTGAACAGCGTCCTTGACCTGGACTTGCATGCGATCGATCTGTTCTTTTAATTCTTGGGAATGAGCAGCCTCTCCGTTCTTGGCTTCCTCTAGAATAGCAATTTCCTTACGCAGTTGAACGATAGTATTTTCCTTGCTGGCCAGCGATTCCTTGACTGTTTCAAGCTCGCTGGTCTTGGTCGCCAGCTTAGCACTAACTTCGGAAAGGGATTTTTCGGCTGCTTCTATTTCGAGGTTAAGAACACTAGTGTGCTTGATTTTTTCCTTCGACTTGAGCTTCTGGTTTTCAGCTCGAGCAGCATTAAGGTCCTGTTGCAATTGGACCTGAGCCAACTTTACCGCTTCCAGTTCCTCTTTTAAGGCCCCGCACTGTTCCATTTCCTTCAATTGCTGTGTCTGCTCCTGCAACTTCTTTTTAAGCTTTGCAGCTAGCGCTCTTAGCTTGTGGTACTTCTCCTCGTAGCCTTCGTCCAGCTCACGCAGGCGACTCAATTCCTCGGCTCGTGATATTGTGGATGTTGACAAGACATCACTCTGGGCATCAGCATTGACCTGTTCCAATTCCTCGACACGACTCTGGAGTTGTTTCATCTTCTGTAACTTCTCCTGCACTGCCTGCTGACTGTTGGAGAGTTGGGCCTCCAAGTCTCGCTGTCTTTTAACTTCTGCTTCGTGCTGCTCTTGAAGGCGTGAGATGGCGTCACCGCGTCCCTTCAGCGCTTCATTCAGTTCCCTCATCTCGGTCAGCAATTCACCATGCTCCTGCTCCTTGAGGTGGAAGCGCGATAATAAATCCTCGTTGTGTTGGCGTAGTTCTATGCATATGGCTTCTAAATCCTGCAATTTCCTCTGCTGATTATCGCGGTCCTTTTCGATGATATGGACGAGGTTTTGCATCTCTTTAAGTTTGGCCTGGAAAAGGCTAACATTAAGATTTCTGGAATGGTTATTGATTTTCTGCTGCTCCCTCGTTACAACTGCCAGTTGGTCCTTATCCACTCTTTGCTGCTCCTTGACAATGCTTGCCAGTTGTTCAATGGCGGTTAACTTCTTTAAAAGACGCTCCACATTCAAGTGAGTTCTCTGGTGTTCCTGCGTGTGTTTTACCATTTTGGCAAGTCGGTCCAGTTCTAGAATTCTGCCAAGCAACCGATTGCGGTCGATTCCGTCATCATTACGGTCGAGTATTTCCTGCGATTTCGGTGTTCCGCTTTAGTTTTTCGTTCTCGGCCTGTAGAGACGTCATCTTTCCACATAAAAGCTGTGATGCCTTGATTATTTCCACTTGCCACTTGGAAATAGAGGCAGCATATTCGTGTTGTGTCTCCAGCAGGACGGACTTGCATTCTTTAAGCTTCTTCAACTTGCGGTATACGTCAATAAAGCGATCCTTTAAGGAATTAAATTTCTTGCGCTGTTCAGAGTTTAGTTCCTTAATGCTCTGGTACTTTTGCTGCAGCAACGCCGATTCCTCGACTACTGTTACCAGTTGCTGGCGAAGGCTGGCGTTTTCTGCCTCCGCTTCCTTAATTTTGGCAATATCCACTTCCAAGAGCTCCAGATTCTTGCGCTGCTCGTTGCCTAGGGCATTGACCTGTTGCATTGCCTTTTCCATGCGATCCACATCGGCCAGAAGGACGTCGTTCTCATCACTTAACCGCCCTAACTGGCGCTTAAGACTCTCGTTCTCGATCTCGAATTGTGCGAGTCGTTCAGCATCCTCCTTGGTCTTTCGCTGCAGGGCGGTAACTTGCTCGGTGAGTATAAGGTTCTTGTCGGTAAAGTCCTGGACCATTTCCTGCATTGCTGGCAGACTGCTCTGCTTCTCGGCCGCCCGCTTCAGGGCCTCCTTGAGCCGGTGGTTTTCCTCGGTGAGTTCTGAACGTACAACATCGATGTAAAGATAGTGAATTTTATGTTCTGGAAGTGTCGACGTCGAACTTACCATCCTTCGCCTGTTTAGCCTTCTTGGCAATGCTGAGTAGGCCTTTATACTTGCTGATGATTTCATCTTTACTCAGCGCCTCAATCGGATTCGCGTTCTTCTGAAAATGCAAATAGCTAGATGAGACGTCATCATCAATTTTAGTGACACCTTTCCACTAACTTGGGTTTCCCTCGGTGATGTGGTGTCCATGTTACTTGCTAACTACGTTTCCTTGCATTTAGTCGCTGGGCAAACATCTGTGCCTCAGTTCTTGCAGATCTGGTTTTTCCTTTCAGCCAGCGACCTAGATTATTAGGAAATGTTTTTACACCTTAATTCGTCCCATTTAAGAAAACACTGGAGTGCCACACTAACAGCTGATAGGGTTGTCGTTGCTGCTTAATTAGTGATGTGCCGGTTTTTATGAGAAGGTGACGAAAATACAAAGTATTTTCCAACAAGGCATTCATAAAACTATTAATTATTAAAAATAAGGAAATAATATTTTTTAAAACACGCGAAAACGACGAATAATAACAATTATTTAAGTGAAATGTATTTGTATATCAATTTCCAACGAAAAAGGTTTTGATTTCTTAATTAGGAACTATCGCAACACAATCAACTATCGATAGTTGTATCGTTAGCCGCCCACCACCGGCGTTGCAGCCAAACAACATTTGGCATCTCTTCTGTGTCCTTATCATTTTTCTTCATCCGCGAAAGTGATGGATTTGAGTGATAATAGCCAACTGGAGGATCAGTACTTTGTTTACAAACATGATCAACTATTCGGCGAGAGCTTCCCTCTGTTCAAGGAGATCCGAAGGCTGGGAAAGCTGTGCGATGTCACCCTGAAGGTGGGTGGTCAAAATTGGGCAATCAATCACCCGCAGCTCAGAGATACGGGCATTATCTAGTGTCTAAATATAACGTCATTCAAATTATTGCAGGTTGAAGATCAGACTTTCTCCGCGCATCGCGTCGTTCTGGCGGCCACCATTCCGTACTTCTATGCAATGTTCACCAACAACATGGCAGAGAGCCGTATAAAGGAGATCACCATGAAGGAAAGCGCCATCGAGCCAAGTGCCCTGGAAAGCCTGATCAACTATGTGTACAGCGGCCAGGTGCGCATTGATAATCAGAATGTGCAGAGCTTGATGGTGGGCGCCTCGTTCCTTCAGCTGTCCAACGTCCGGGACGCTTGTGCCAGCTTTCTAATCTCACGCTTCCATCCGCACAATGTCCTGGGAATCCGCACCTTCGCCGACTCAATGATCTGTCGTCAGCTAATCGATGCAGCCGACAAGTACATAGACCAAAACTTTGCCAAAGTCTCGCAATCGGAGGAATTTCTCGCACTCGACTGTGAACAGCTTCTGGAGCTGATGCGCCGAGACGAGCTCAACGTGCGCACTGAGGAGGTCATCTTCGAGGCGTGCATGAAGTGGGTCAAGTATGCGGAAGATAAGCGCTCCGAATTGTTTCCCCAGGTACTGGCAGCAGTACGACTGCCATTGCTATCGCCACAGTTCCTTGCGGACCGTGTGGCACGCGAGGAGCTTATCCGATCCTCGCACCAGTGTCGTGATCTCTTGGACGAAGCCAAGGACTTTCACCTTATGCCCGAGCGCAGAGGGCTGCTGCAGAGCTTTCGTACTCGCCAGCGCTCAGGTGAGTTCTTTACCGGCCAAATCTATGCCGTTGGTGGGCTGGCCAGCACTGGAGAATCTGTGAGCACGGTGGAGATCTATGATCCCCTAACTAAGAAGTGGAAAATGGGCGAACAAATGTCCATGATGAGGCGAGTATAGTAAAAATGTATATTTTTGTTACTTCCCATACTAATTCCCATTATTTTCGCACAGATCTCGTGTAGGCGTGGCCGTTTTAAATGGCAAGCTATACGCCTTCGGTGGCTTCAACGGCACCGAACGCCTCTCTACTGTTGAGGTCTACGATCCGCGGAAAAACAAGTGGTCTCAGGGATGTGCTATGCTTTGCAAGCGAAGCGCTGTGGGCGTAGCCGCCTTAGATGACTGTATCTATGTTTGCGGCGGCTACGACGGAGTCACTTCACTTAATACCGTTGAGGTATACTACCCCAAGACCAATACTTGGAAGACTGTGAGTCAATGTTTATTTCACCAAAAAGAAAAGAAAACTAATCCATTTTCCGATATGCAGGTTGCTCAAATGATGAAGTATCGTTCTGCTGGTGGGGTGACCCAACTGAATGGCTATGTCTACGCCCTTGGTGGGCATGACGGACTATCTATATTCGATTCGGTGGAGCGGTATGATCAGAACGAGGATGTATGGGTGAAGATGTCGCCCATGCTTAATCGGCGCTGTCGACTAGGCGTGGCAACGCTAAACGGGAAAATTTATGTCTGTGGCGGCTACTGCGGCAACTCATTTCTTCGCTCTGTGGAGTGCTACGAACCCGAAACGGACACCTGGAAGCTAGTGACACCCATGAATTGCAAGAGGTCACGTGTTGCCCTGGCTGCCAACATGGGCAAACTTTGGGCCATCGGCGGTTATGATGGCGAGTCAAATTTGTCCACCGTCGAGGTCTACGATCCGGAGACCGATAAATGGACCTTTATGCCGCCCATGTGCGCACACAGTGGAGGTGTCGGAGCCGGTGTTATACGGATCGAGTAACCTGCTCGGCCTGCCTGCCAAAAACCGTTTCTCTAGCCACTCTCGTCTTAGGTAATTTATGTGAATTGAAAAGATATAGTCTAGCCTAGTTAGGATTGTTGAGTGTAACCAAGCTTTAGCGGCTTCTTGAACGACCGCCTCGTGTGCAACTCGGCTCAGCTCCTTTAGCTCTATCAAAATTGTTCATGTATTACTCACGGTTCTTTAGTGTTTGTCATTCCAGTTATGTAATTGTTTAGTTTCTACGCCTAGCCTTAAATACTCACTAACATTTTAATCTTTCAAATAAAAACATGTGTATTGCATGTTATGTGAAAATAAATTCTTTTTGCCTTTTCTTGCTAGTGGCTAAAAAATAAGTTAACAATTTACGTTGAGTACTTACTTGACTATTGTTTAGTAAGAAAACTTGTGGACACTTTATCTCACAACTTAGTTAAAGATTTTTTCATTCTTTAAAAAGAGTTTTTAATTCTTATTCATTAATTTGCCTTCCGTTTTTGCACTCCCTTTGCCGCTTGCAATATCGAAATTCGCCCATCGTATAAATCAATTGTGTTTCGACCATCCATATGGGCGGCGGATACGTTTTATTTGCTCAATAATAAATGGTTGACAAATAACAAAGCAATCTGAACGACAACAAAAAGGGAAAATGTTGCGAGGGCGGGTTAAAAACTTGATAAACGACAATAAACTTAAATTCCGTTTTTGTATTATTTTTTTTATGACTTGGTACTTTATATTTGTTTGTAGTAAATGTCATGGTAAATGTCATTTATAGAAGTTAATATATTTTTACTATATTTTATCAGGGTTATTTATTATTTAAATTTCTTTTTAGGTATGAATATTGTCAAAAATCTAAAGCTTCTTCAATATTCTTATAAATCAGCCCATCATATTTTGAAATCACAATACGAGTATACTTTTCCTCCCCTCGTTCTGACTCAGTTGGGCGTGTTGTGTCTCCCTTCCCTTATTATTTGTACACCTCCCACGCGCGGAATGCAATTTTAAATTCAATTTGCACCACCTGCTAAAAGTGCAGCGACAGCAGAACAATTTCCGAGCAACAGGTGGCAATACCACATCCAAAAATAGAGGCAAACGCAAAAAAAAAAAAAACAATTTGCTGTCTATCACTGACCCATAAAATGTCATCCGCTGCAAAGGGTCATAATCCAATCAATCGCACACTTAACGTCCATATTCCGCAGTTATCAGCTGGAATTCCAGCGTTGGAGGACCTTATCTGGATCCTGTTCCCAATTCCCAATTGCTGCGGCTATTTGCCGCAATCGACAGGGCTTTGCGGCGGTCTTATTTGATTTTGATAATCAAATCACAAATAGCTTGTCTATCGATGGGCAATTTTATTTTAATTAAATGCTAATTATGTTTACCAAATGGTCGGAGTAAATATTTGTTGCGTCACCCTGGGCAATTGAAATGGTTGTAGTGGGAGTTTTCTACCACCCAAAAGATTCGTTTAGTCGGAAAATGTGTTAATTGTAGTTACAAGGGTGAGGAATTGGCTTGTATTCTGCATCCAAAAATTGCAATTTGCAATTTAAATGCAAATTTTTTACACTGTAACTTTTACGACTCAATGGCGAAAAAGCGGAAGAGGAAATCTCGCGTGGAGGGATGCACAGATGATAAGATGAGGCCAGAGCAGGAAGCGTTGGTGCTTCCACGTTTAATTTTAGACCAAAAAACTGGCGTTGTAGTGGCTGCAAGTTGCAACAAGCTGGCCCCCCGGATGTGTGCCATCCACTTGGCCTTTCCGAGTGCCGCGTGGGAGGTGTGGCGGGGTGTGGTATCTTATATCTTGAATGCCGCGACCTCGCCTCAAGTGCATTGTTGATGGTCGGGGCTCGTTTAAATCTGGCAGAAACGAATTTCCCGGCTCAGTTTGTGACGCATTTGAAATAATTCCGCTTGTCCGATTTAAGTTGGTTTATTTCAAAATGATTGATTTACGGATCGGAGGGAAATGAGGGACTATTAAACTATTCCATATTATAACAATCACTGATTTCCAATATTATTGGGAATTTCCCAATCTTAATTGGTTTTTTAATTAATCTTCTTCCTCCGCAAGTCTTAATCTTTTAAAATTATATAAAAATGAGCTATATTAATGTAAAAACTTGAGGTTTATTTTAAAATACATTCAGACTATCGAAATCAGTTAAAACTGTATAGTAATAAAACAAAATATATTCCCAATTTTTTAAAATAATTTTAGGATTTTTAATTTGATCTTTTTTATTGCCAGTTTTCGTTGTGGCAAACTATTATTCGAAATAAAATTTTACGTGCATTTTTGGACTTGCATAGCCTGTCTGTTTTCGGCTGCTAAGGACAATCGTTTTGTTAGCTTTGCAGGCAAATAAAAATAATTTTAATTACAAATTTTTTAAACAAATACTAAGGACAAAATCAACAAAATGTATAATTTTTATTTGGGCATTTCGAATGCATATTGTAAATAGTAAATCATAAATATTAAAAACAGAAATTGGCACGGAATAACAGAAATCGAAATTAACTTTTCTTTATAAAAGTGGCTGTGCCAGTTGGCCATTTGGTGAGCTGCTCCATTCTCATTTCGCTTTTCTTCTTTTTCGATTATTTTACCTTTTTCGCATTTCGCATTTCGCCTACTTTTTGCATATGTTTTATTCACATATGCAAACAGAATTTCCGTTCAATTCAATTGCTCGGCGAGGAGGCAATTTTTTATTCCACGGTGAAGTGGCGTCCGCATAAAAGAGCACACACCGCAAAGCACACACGCATAGCTACACACACACACACACGGCCACACCTCGTATCGCTTCAGATTCTATTCGACCAATTGTTGATATGCACGAGCACACACATACGCACACACTAACAGGCCACATCGGGTTCCGTTAGACTTCGTGTCCTGCCGGTCGGGCTTCCTGTTTCGGTTTCATCCTTCTTCAGCTTTTATAAAGGTCCGTTGTCGCTTTGATCTGTCGCTCAGTTGTTGCATACTTCTCGGCGGGTTCGTTACGCGAGCAGTTACAAACACTAAAAAATAGTTCAGCAAAATTGAAAGTGAAAGATATTACCAAAGAAGATTGGCCACATTTGTAAGTGAATATTAAACTTAATTGGTGTCATTTCTGTTCATTTTATTTATTCAATTTTTACATTAATATGAAGAAAAATGGAAGTATCTACAGGTTGGAAGCTGTATCTGATGTATTATTTGTCAAAACTGGTTCTTTTTAATTAAACAAGTTTAAAACTAACAATCATCACGAATTAAGTTAAGTGAAATTAAGTAAAGAAAAAACTTTAACTAAATACAATTTTACACATGAATCTTGCTTACACTTTTATCTATTAAATTTTTTTAAATTTATTTCCTAAAAAAAGCCACTTCAAGAACAAAAATGTCCCCTGAAAAAACAAGACAGTCGTTAAACAAAAATTAGAAAAACAAAGCATTTAAAATTTTATGTTTCAGCTTGTTTAGTGCAATAATTCAGCTTTCTTATCAGATTTTATATCCAACTTGATCTCTGGGGTCTGCTTAATATCATTACCAAGTTTTTATGGCAACGCATTTGACCATCTCACCATTAAACCTCTTGGGTGGCTTCCACCCAATTTAAAGAAGATAAAACGAGAAATTTTCACTTAATCCTAACAAATTCCACACATTAAGGCTATAGTTCATATATGCCATGGTGTTTGATTTATTATGAGTAAGCTAACTTTTGGCTAACAACGTGTTAATTAGCTGACAAGATCCTTCTATCAATTGGGTGATAAACCAACACGAGAAGGAGTCAACTTCTTGGAAAATTTCAAAGTCAAGTTCCTTTTGTTTTTACATATTTCGGTCCGGCGAGAGGAGAAACATTGTTTATGGAGGACGGCCATCATCAATTGACAGCCGGCGGCCAAAGCTAATAAAAAGCAACATCAATGCAGGGCACCAGATTCCGGATTGGGATTCGGATGGCACACATCCGGTGGCAGCACGCAACGCCATCCCATTAGGAGGGGCAGCGAGCGCTCTGCCCCCAAAAAGATACTAAGGAACTGACGGACTGAGATAGATTGGGTGGTCACGGGTGACATGAGGCGGCGCTTTAAAACTGCCCCTGGGTCTTAACGTGTTTTATGTCAACTTGGACAACAACGAGAACAGGGCAATTACAGCATGTGTAGCCCCAGCAAATACACAAATACTTGAGTTGCAGCTGCGCCTAAAAGATCCTTTAAAATGTAAGCCACTGCACGCGTATGTGAGCCAGCCTGGACTAATTAACCTGGCCAACAACTGTAGCTGCCGGACTCATTATGGGGCAACGAGAGATGGCCAAGTTGGGAGTAATTCTCTGGCCCGGAACACTCCGGGTAATGGCGCACCAAAATAGCTTCGCCGGGTGGCCCAGGTAGACAGTTTTGGGTAAATATTTTATTACAGTTCGAGGACAGTTTTCGGGGGAGCCCAAAAGAGCGTTGGAGCTATTCATTATTTAATTTACTATAAATATTAAGAGAGAAACCGTTATCCATTACGAGTTGTATCAAAGATTTCATTTGGAAAATCTTAACCTAATAATACCCAAAACTTTAAAACATGCACTCATTAATAAGTCAACGAAAGTAATCCAACATTTTTTGAGGCACCTTCTTTTACAAAAACCCAAATGGAGAGAGATTTTGTAACTGTCATAAAAAATGTTTTTTTTTTTTGCTACCTAAAAATCAACGAACCAAGACGCGGCTCATTTTTCGACTCGCCTTTGACTTACGACGACTCATCATCAGCGCATTTCTGTGGATTTCAATTTCAATCATTAGGGATTAATTTGGCCAAGGCACAAAGGTCACACATGCCAGGCCTCTGACATTTCCCCGACCCCGCTTCACACGCCATCTCCATAGCTTTAATGAGTCTTTTACAAAAGGGATAACGAGGCAGACAGGACGCGTCCGTCTCGGAGTCGCTTTAATGTCTCACAAAGAACTTAAACCGCATAAATTTACATTTAGATCTACATTAACGAATGATGCATGATGTATGGCGATGGATGCACGTCCTTAACTCCGGTACCTAAACGGTTCTTGCGTTCAGGATGGGCGTGTCCCGGAAGTGCAGCTCCAGTGAGGTGGGTGTCTGCTGGTACTCCACCACTACCAAACGATTTGAGCCCACCTTGAGTACTGGCGCAGGAACATACAGGGTGACTTGTGGCCCAACCAGTGGCCAATATCTGCCAAGATTCTCGCCATTTACAAAGACAATACCCTTGCCCCAACCGGACATGTCCAGATAGGTGTCTGCCAGATCCGCTTGACTTTTAATGTCCAACTGACCATGGTAAGATGGCAGGACCTTTGCGCAGCATGGTCCGCAAGTTCTTCAGCTTTTGGAAACCTTGACGGGCTGCCTCATCTGACTGGGTGATCAGCTGTTCCAGATTATCGTACGACTCCAGTGGGAACTGGGTCATGTTCCAGTTGCTCAGCACCTGTTTGTCCAGTCGAACATCCCGCAGGATACCCTTGAAATCATTGAGCTGACGACCGTAGTTGAGGCGACCTTGGTTCTCCACAATGATCTGCAATCTCCTTCCGGCACTTGCACTTAATGGCAATTCGAATACGGGCGTTTCCCTGGCCAAAATGCCCACAAATTCGCCATCCACATAGACATAACCTCGATCTGCCAGTCCAGAAACACTTAGGATACTCGGGTCACGCTGGAAGCTGGGCAACCAGGTCTCGTACAGCACCAGCCCAGAATATTGTCCCAAAGCCTCAAAACTCTTTGGTTTGTTAGACTGAATAAAACCAGTGGATAGACGTGCTCTAGCCTCCGGGGAAAGCAAACTACAGCAGCTGATCAGTCTTACAGTTCCGTAGGATCGCTTGGGAACTGGTCCGGGCACAGGCTGATCTGGCAGTGGAAGATAACGAGCGATAATACGACGCAAAGCTAGGTACTTGGACGTGGGATCCCCCGCCTCAGTCATGGGTGCATCATAGTCATAGCTGGTGATATCTGCCATATAGTTTCCGGGTCCAATCTCATTGGCGCCAGCCGTAAAACCGAAATTGGTGCCTCCATAGAACATGTAGAAGTTGACACTGGCACCATTGTCCAGCATGTTTCTGGAAGACAAAGTGAAGTTTTAAAAAAGTTTCTTGTCATTAAGTCAGTAATTAAGATAGTTACTAGTCATTAGGGCAATGCATTAGAATGTTACTTAACAAAATAATATATCACGTACTCAGACTATGGTTAAACCCAAACTAATAACTTACATAAAAGTTGAGGTAATCGATCTCGTGCTAACATTGGCCATCGGTTCCGTCCAATGGGTCAACCAACCGGGATAGTATTCAGCATTGACCAGCGGACCCTTTGGCTGGAACCTTCGTAATTTGGCCCAAACGGGTTTGAGATCATTGGTCGCTCCAAAGTCCATGGTGGCCAGGACACCCTGGATTTTACCACATCTCAGCACACTGGGTCCGTCGTTTGTAAAGAGCACTGCCTGACCTTTGACATGACTCTCGGTCTCATCGCGAATCCAGTTGCGGTAGTTAAGATCGCAGGCAAAGTAGGAACCATATTCGTTCTCCACCTGAACCATGATGATAGGTCCTCCATTGCCATAGAGATATTTGGACATCTTAGCAAACAGTTGGGCATACCATATGCGCACCTCACTGAGATAGTCTAAGAGGAAAACATGACAATCGGTTAGTTTGGCTTAAACTAAATATGATTGGTAGCAATCTTAGTAAAAGAAAACCTCTAACTAAGCACGTAAATAAAAGTTAACAATTAAAAGGCATTACTTGGACGTATGCCAGTAAAGTAAAGGGCAATGCCTCTGAGAATCAGCTTGAGAGCTTAGAGTAGTGCAATCACGTTCAGCTCGGGAACATCCCGGGCTCCCCTGGTACGTTACAAACTGTGCCATCGAAAGAGTCTTTCGACTCTTATTCGATAGAGCACCAAATTAATCTGCCCAGCAGTCGCTATGCTGACTGGTTTGTGGCCTAGCTGACGGCTGAAGAAGCTACATCCATCCGATCTCCCTACTAGTAAGATCTCATAAAATTTTCTCAGTAGTTTTCTAATTTTTCAACTCGTAATAAGGTACATGGGGTACCCATAAAACTGTTTCCCGTTAATTTTACGATAGGTTACGTGCAGATTTTTATAACTTTTAGAAATTAAAGAGTTTTTTCTGAGAAAAGTAGTTTCTATGTACTTACTGACATCTGCTGTTCGGAGTTGAATTCCTGGGTACTTGTTGAGCAACCAATAGGGAAAGCCTCCCATATCACGCTCAGCACAAATGTAAGGACCCGGACGGAGGATTACCAACAGATCCTCACCCACAGCCAGGCGTATAAAGTGCTCCAGATCTGCAATTCCACTCCAGACATATACACCATCTCGAGGATTGTGCAATGACCATTCCACATAGCTATTATTTATTGGGAATAAGATTATTCGAACTTGTTACTAATTCAGAAATAACTTACGTAGTCACTGCATTGAGACCTGCAGCTCTCATGGTCCTCAGATGCCGCTGCCATGTGGCTGGATGAGCACGGAAGTAGTGGAAGGAACCAGCAATGAATCGAAAGCATTTTCCATCTTTCAGGAACTGATCATTATCGTAGTCTACTGTGAAAGTTCGATTAGCCGAAACTGCTCCCAGTAATGAGAGTAGAGCCACCAGGCCCACAAGACCAAATTTCATTCTTGGTTTAAGAAAGAAGTTAGAGAAGGGTTTTGAATTAATATCAAGTCAGTGTTAGATGTAAATTAGATTGTGTTTCTTAATTAACCCTAGGTAATAAGAAGTTGCATCTTACAAGATCTAAGAACTGATATTCCCCGAATAGAAATAAATCTCAAAGATTGAACTCGTCTCATTATCTCATTTTCTTATAATCATCTTTTATGGTACACACAGAGATAACCTTACCTTCTTAGCACGCTATCACTTACAATATTGATAATGCCATACAAAATAAACATCATAATAAATAACTAACCTACCTTAATGTATTGTTAAATTTCAATAAATAATTTTGAGTGCAACTGTAAAAACATTTACCAGGCAACATAAATTAAGATCTGAAATGACAATCACTTCCATGGCAAATTGATAGACTACAAAAATCGTAATTTATAATTTGAAATCAAAATAAATGCTATAAAATACAATATAAAATGAAACATTGAATGGAACATAAACAAGTGGTTAAACGAGTTTATTGACTTATCGCTAAATTGTATTCAAAATGAATGCAAATTAGTTTTTAAATCTAATTGAAGCCTCGTGAAGCCTCTCTTAATAAGAGTTTAAAAATGTAATCTAATTTCTTAAAGTGTTCTGTTTTTCCCTAGAAGCTAGATTTTCCTTCCGGCTAGTGTACAGTCTTAACCCGTTCCGCTTCCTAGAGAATCAATCTAAATCATCTCAGCTCAGCCCAGCCCAGTTGAGTTCATCGCAGTGCAAAGCCTGTCTCGTTTCAATTGAAGTTCACGGCTCAATTGCTTAGTGACAACAAAACGATATAATCTTTTGTTTGTTTTGCTTATGAGAATCATTTCAAATTAATTCCATTTACCCAAGCCAGAACCTCCTGAACTTCTTGGTAGCCTGCCATTGCATTCCCATTGGATCTCATTAATTAATGCAAGCTCAGCCCAAAAGTCAATTATTTAATTTGGCTTCTTGGGGCTGAGTAGAATTTCATAAAAGAACTTTTGTACTTTCCACCAGCAGCAGCAGCTGTTCGGCAATAATAATGGATTGTTATTTTAGTATTCGGACACTTTATTATGAATTCATTCTTATCGCCACAAATATTTTCTTTGCTCCAACGTCTTCATTTTTATGCGATTTGACATATGTATGCTACGTGTTTTTGTGTGTTTCATTTTATTTTTATTCTCGTTGCGAATTCTTTTGATTGCGATGCACCATGAAATGTAATTCTAAACAACATTATGTTTATTCTGGATTTATAACTTTTTAATCTCTGTGATTCATTATCCTCTGATGCTTGACTGTCAATTTTTACGCTTGAAAAAGTTGATTATTTTGGTTTTAATTTGTTTTTTCTCATTTAATTCAACGATTTTAAAATTACTTAAATGACAAATTTTAGCAAAGAGATCATGGCAGTATTCCAATGAATTCATAATGCTTTACCGATTGATATTTAATATCGTTTAATTGAAGAAATTTGACTCTAAGTTCATGGATTTGCAATGCACGAAACTTTCCCATATTTATAAAGATTGTGCCTTGTTTGGCTAACGAAAATGATTTTATTGACATAAACTAATCAATTAAAACAATTAAATATAAATAAATCAATATATACTCTCTCCTGTGATTCACATGCTGTGATTCCCTTCATCTCATCTTCTGATGACTCTAAGCTCGATCGTTAAAAACCAAACTGATAAGCAAAATTCACTTTTAACCCAATGAACTGTGAAACCCAAGCCCTGATATTGCATTTAACCTTTAAGTGAATAAATTTCCAACCAAAAAACTCCCTATATATGGAGACCCAAGTAATAAATTGAAATATTTTTAACAAAAATGAAGGGAAAAGCAAAACGAGGGAACGCTAACGAGGGCTCAAGTTGAGTTTGAGTACATTTTAGGTATCTGACCTAAATAGATTATTTTGCATGGCACCTGAAGCCCTCCCAATTTTGAATACAAGTTGGGACCCCGCTGAGAGTCCCATTTACCATTGCTGACAATTGGGCGAGAAAGTTTCCAACATATCCAACGTATAAACAAAGCCTGCCCATCGAGCTCCTATTCGATTACACTCACCTCGCAGATTGCAACTGCAGTTAGTGGAAGAAGTATTTCACTTATGCGCTGATTTAGATCACAGAACAGAAGTATAAACACGGATGGAAATCTTTCAGAGGAGTAAAGTGCACCGTTCCACTTCGAATCCGAATTCAAAGTGATCGTGCGTTGAGCAGAAGCCCCGATTAAGCGAACAGTCTAAGCAGCTATAAATGTTGCTATACAAACGTGGCGCTGCTGACAACATGAGGCTAGAACAATTTCATTTGCAACATTTGTTGGGCAACATTTTGAGTGACTAGAGATAAATAGTTTCAAATTTGGACTTTAATGTCTATTAATTGTTAATGAATGTTTTAAAATAATACTAGTTTTTAACCATGTAATCTTTACTTCTTCCTAATTGAGGTACTTAGTAAATTGTTAGGTTTAATCTTTACATCTGCTATATTATATCAAAAATGTAACAAGTTTGTAAGGACCTTTTACCTGATTTATCTGTAAAATAAGTTTTACTAGTATAAAGGATATGTCTATATTAACTTCCCTGACATTTGTATATGTATTCGGATATTACCACTTTCTTTTCTACCTTTTAAGAACCCTTTTAGATTGATTTTCCCCCCGGAAACATTACATTTCTTTAAGCAACCAGATGATCCCTGACTTTTAACCTATTACATATGGGTTGTCCATATTTGCATTCATCGAGAGCTTTACAATAGCCCGAGGCAGAAAGGCAACTCAAACTTGGTTTCGCAAAAAATTAATGTAAATTTATTTAAAAACCACACGCAGGCCGGTGGAAATTCGAAATTGGGCTGCAGCTGCTAGTAGAAAAAAAGAGTCGATTTTAAAATATAGTCACGCCTCATTTTTTATGCATTAACCGCGCGTGTGTGTGTGAGAGTGTATATGTACGGGTGTTTGTTTTGGCCTGAACTCTGACCTCCTACTCGCATGCAAAATAGGGTGACATGGGAATGCAGCCGCAGGCAATTGGCCAAAAAGTGAATTTTTCATGTTGTTTTATTATTAATTTCATACGTTTCTTCTGTTTGGGCCTCTCAGATTCAGTCCGTCTGTTGTTGGGTCACATTCTGCGGGCCTACCATCTGGGCTAATGGACCTATTTTACCAGCCCACCAAAAAAAAGCCCTCACACACACACACAAAGCATTTTGTAGGAAGCAGAGCACACAATGTGTTGGCCAAAATGTAAATCTAGACATAGGACGCCTTGGCACGTCTTTAATCTCACACGCCTGTCGGCAGTTTAAAGTGTCCTTTGGGATGCACACACACCCCGAGGCAACACACGCTCGCACACACATACATATTCGTGGATGGAGGACGGCCTACATAGACAATTAGACAACAGACATGGCCAAGTTAACAGCTTATCCGCAATCCGCATTAAGGCAGCGGAGGGAGTTGTGAGCCAGGACTCCGGACTAGTCCAAGTACGGTTCCCATTGTCCGACTGCCTGGCTGTCAGCTTGATGTCCTGATGTCCTGCCAGGACGTGGCTTGACGAGCCGGGACCAGGTAGTTCTAGGACCGGAAGCTCGCCACATTTGCACGCTGTTAATTTTGCAGCAACAAACTTTAGTGGCATTAGTTGGAAATTGGACAGTGGGATAGGCAGGAACTTTAGTGGTAACCTAAGTAAAAAGATAGGGAAATTCATATTTATAGTAAATAATATGAAATAATGTTTCTTAATTTAATAATAACATTAAGGGTATTTAAAGAAGGGTATATAAGGGTAGAAAAAGTTAATGAAATGGTTTTAAATGTCTCGGATTTGAAACTCCTAATTATCCTCCCTATCCCACTGTTAGTTTAAAGTTCGTCCGACATGTCCTGATGCTTTGACATTTTAGGACCATTTTCCCCCAACTCCTTGATATTATAATTTCAGCTTTAAAAAGTAGAAAACTTTTAGTTCCTCCAGCACTTAAGTTCAACTCGAACTTAAAGCAAACGGAGTGGCATAGAGGCGTACTAATCATAATGGTGATGAGACTTAAGTGGCGAGCAACCTGTTGATTGTGGCAAACTCAACATCAATTCAATTCAAATGCATTTCGCAAAGTTCAATTGAATTGCTTCTGCTGCTCCATTCCCCCTCGAAACGGCAATGTTTGTGCTTGTTTTGCGGTTGACGCCGCCGGTGGCAATCAATTGAATTACATGTTTGTTGTTTCCTGTGCGCATCGTTAGACCACGCCACACAGTTTTTACATCTATTGCTCCTGTTCCCGATGCCACAGCAGCCACAATCCGACACCATCTCTCCCTCTCCTGGTCTTAGCCAGCGGGCCTTCAGCATTTGCATGGCAATTTGACTTTACAAGGCGTGGCATAATCATGCGTGGCGTCAACTCGTTAGAGATACTCGTGGCCCGGGATGTTGCACTTGGAAATGCACAAGAAGAAAATCTGGAAAGAAGTTAAGAAAAATATTAAAAATTCCAACACTTTTCAATCAAATTTGAATTTGGTGCATATTCTTCATATGTTTAGTAATATATTATCTCAAATCGGATTATTTATGTACCAGAATATCTACTAAAATTTTGATATATATTAGGCTTAAGTAGTAATTGCATTTCAACTAGGTATGTAACCTTTTCGCCTAGAACCCTGCAAAAATGTTAATTTTGTTTTTAGATCTTAAAGAAGCCTGATTTCCAAACATTTGAAAACTTCTGAATCAAAAATGAAATAAATTTCCTAAGTGTAGCTTCCCCATATCTCCCTTTTATGTTTACATTTGGAGCTATAAATTGCAACATCAGCAACCGTTACATTTCCCGTCGATTGCATCTCGCGGAACGACCAGCAAGCAAGAATCAACTTGATTATGGATATTTTCACATAAGTTTCCACCTTTAAAGCCTTGAAAAAGTTGTTTTCAATGCCATTTAATCTGAGCCAAAAAGGGTAATGGCTGATCAATAAAATGCGAAATTATTCACCTAACCAAATATTTTTCGGTCTTAAAATTTCTATGGAAAAGGCCACATGTGCATATATTGCAACTATAAGCTTTTCCTCCTAAGCCCTTAACTCATGCCCCCTCCTCCTTACCAGCCATAGCGACTGTAAAAACTGCAAAAAGGTCAAGTAGACGCCGCCGCGGGGAATTTGTAAGTCTAAGTGCACTAAAGCAAGTATATGCAAAAAAAAAGGAAAATCAAAACAAACAAAACAGGAAATGAAATGGAAAACATTTTCTAAGGGCTTTGCTTACAAAGTTGTTTCAGTTTTTTCCCTGCATAATAAATATTTGCAACTTAAAAACAATAAGAATTTAATTTTAATTTGTAATCTATGGATTTTAATATAACTTTATTATCCGGTTTTATGCTGAAATAAATGATTTATTTTTTAATATGCCTAATAAGGAACTTGAGCTTTTGGAGATTTTGTGTATATTTAATTATATTTAAGAACTAATTAATAAATATAGCAAATAATTTATATATAGATTAAACATACCTCTAAGTGTTTTTCCGTTCACTTCCTCAGTTTACCTTTTTTCCAGCAGCGCATTGACTTCCACGCCCGCCTAAAAGCTCGCTACATCCAATGCGCACTCAAAACGGTTTGATAGCGGTGGCGCTAGTGCTGCTGCTTCTGCTTACGGCACCTTCTAGTGCTACGGATGCTGAGACAGAGTCCTCCGCCAGCCCACTGCCGCCGGATGGCGAGCAACCTCGCCGGGTGGTGAAGCGGGCCCCGACGTCCAGCTTCATTGGTATGCGCGGCAAGAAAGACGAGGAGCGGGACACTTCGGAGGGCAATTGGTTGGGACCAGGACCCGGAGCGGGACCTGATCCTTTAGACTACGCTGACGAGGAGGGAGATGCTTACTACTCCGAGAACGGTCGGCGATTAAAGAAGGCACCAACGGCCTTTGTGGGTATGCGGGGAAGAAGCTCGTACCTATCAACGCTCGCTTTTCCGATGTTCTGCAGAGCTTGGAGGAGGAGCGGCTCCGGGAGAACCTGCTGCAGGATTTTTTCGAGCGAATTGCAGCAGGTGATGCGACAGCGGTGGGCAAGCGGGCACCTACAGGATTCACGGGCATGCGGGGAAAACGTCCTGCTCTGCTAGGCGGAGACGATGACCTGGATGATGATGACGCCACAGAGCTACAACAAAAGAGGGCGCCAGTCAACTCCTTTGTGGGGATGCGCGGCAAGAAGGACGTCTCCCACCAACACTACAAACGGGCAGCTCTCTCAGAGGTAAGTTTAATTAACCTGCAACCTGTTGGCAATACAGTGGTCTCTTCTGATGAACTTTTGTGGTGTTTAATAATTTAATTATCTTTACTAAGATAATCTATAAAAGCGACCACTGTATAGCTAACAATACTCAGTCAATGTAAAGATCTAATCGACCCCAGTTCTGGCACAATTTCTTTAAAAAGTCCTACGATCTGAGGGGCAAACAACAACGCTTCGCAGACTTCAACAGCAAATTTGTGGCAGTCCGCGGAAAGAAGAGCGACCTGGACGGAAACGGCATTGGTATCGGAGAAGTCCAGCAACAATCTCTGGTACATCCATGGCTCTATCTTTGGGGTGAAAAAAGGGCGCCCAATGGATTCTTAGGCATGCGAGGCAAACGGCCAGGTAATTTCCGCTTTGACCCCATAAATTCTCATTTTACTCTTAGAACTCGCAGATTGAAAAGGTATATTGTTAGCGTTGTAAGGTTTGTAACAGATGAAATAAACCTTATACATATTCTTGCTGAAAGATCATACTACTGTTAGCATATTTACTTTATGATATGTAAAAATAGGTTGTGCCACTTGACTGTAACGTTTTCTTTTGTTTTTAAGTCTAATCCAGAGACTCCAACTTACTGCGTTGTTGGCCAGTTGAATTTCCAGTTCTGTCTTCAATACGTACATCTTAATCGTTTTATTTCTCCCATCATTTTGGGAATCCCATTTCGATTCCCTATAAATTAAGCACTGTTCGACATTCGGTTAATCATTCCTTTTCTTTCCATCCCATACAGCACTTTTCGAGTAGGCGTCGTTGAGTGATTTGAACGATCTTGATGGAAGTTCCTCTTAGAGCTACAAAAACTAGGAAATGCAAGAGCAGATGGAGGCAGTGGACCGGGAGAGCAGTTTTGGACACAGATTGGATCACAGGAGTGTTTCAAATAATCGCTGGGCTGGAGATTATTTCAAACACGAAGACACAAAAATACACGATGAGAACTTGCTCTGTTAGTTGACACACAAATTTCAGCTTAATGTATAACGAGACTTGCGAATAATGTATTGTAAATTTAATTGAAATTGATGGTTGCTTCAAAGATTGAGTGGGTTCAATTATACTATTTGCATATCTAAGTGTAAACTTTTAATCAAAATTATAATGAAAACTAGAACAAATTGAATTGAATTGCACAACATAAAATACGAAGAAAACGGGGAAACATTTATTTATTTATTTTCAAAATATATTTAAAGAAATAATTTCATTGTGGTACATCTATGTATACAAGAGAATATATACACCTACATAAAATAGCACAACTAAATATTGTAAATAATGAATAAATATTTATTTCAAAAACTGAAGTCGAAGGTTATCTAAAAGGGTATTTAAACGTCGCCTTGGCTGAGCTAACTTCCTCTTTCACCTTACAACTTACACACAGAATCATCAACATCGGAACAAACACCGACTGAAATTGACTGAAATCAAAACAATGAGCAATTAAATACAATAAAACATTAAATAGTCTTCTCACAGTTCCAAGAAACTCAATTTCACACATGTAGCTACAACCTGACATCTTGTGTATACAAAACATTAAAAAACCGTACGGAACAGCTTCAAAATATGAGGAGACTCCTAATAAGGTGTAGCACAACAGCGACCAGAAACACGACCAGTGATAAATGGGTGTTAGAGGTTACGGAAAGGTCTGGAATTTTAAAGTGCGCACTTTACCTGACCAGCGATTACAGGTAGGACCTCATCAGATCCTCTTTAGCTGCAGTTCTACCTGACTTGCCTTCTGAGAAGTTTAAAAGAAAAATCAACATTTCTAACTTTTTCATTAAAATATCTTTAAGTATCTTAAAGATGCACTTTAGGATGAATCAAAATGCTGAAGGGTCCAAATAATATGGTAAGATGATAATGATGATCATAATCAGATCCTTAAAGAACGATACTACCTGATCTCAGAAGGTTTTGCCCCAAATATCATATTAATTTGACAGAAATGTATCATAAAAATGATTCTGTTTCAAAGACTTTCTTAAATATTGCCATGATAGTTGGCACTTTCACAAATCATTCAAACCTCCTGCTCCACCCGACTCACACCTATGTAAGTACCATCGATCTCAGAGCGTCCCCGAAAAAGTTCTCTCTTCGTTCTCCCAAAGCTTCCATGATCACTAAGCGCTGATATCGACAGAGGCCGAGGCAGAGGCATCTACATCGACAGTGACTGAGGCAGAGCAGCTTATAAATACCAGATACTCGACGTTCTTGGGCAGTTAGTTATAAACTGCGACTTGTAGAGGCCACATCGTCGGATCAAGCCAACTATTACCACTTCGTGAGTGCCGCCAGTGAATGTGTGTCTACTTCTTGTAGTTGTGGTAGCTGTTTAGCTGGATGCCAGGAGCCAGAGACATTTGATAATTGAGTGTGTGTGCCAATTTGTTGTAAAACAAGACAATTGACAATAATTATGTATGAGTGACAGGCAGTAAGTCAGTCTATATATATATATTTGCAATTAATGCGTGAAGACAGTGGAAAAGTTTCTTCTACGCCCGTCGCTCTCACTCCCAAAATCAGTCACCTACATACGCGAGTGCAGTGCTGCGTGGAAAACCTGTATTTTCTATCTGGTCTCCCCAGCTGTTTTTCCATAGCAGTGAAAATTTCTCGGATCCATCCAGCCATTCAGCTCTACAGCTCTAGCTTCAGCTCCATCTGCCTTGATTACACCAAAACTCAACTTTCAGTTTGTCTCATTTCATTATTTAGCTCCCAACTGAGGCTCAAGATTGTGATACAAAAAAAAAACATGCTACGGCTGTGGGCCTGCCTGCTCCTCCTGGGATCCATCCAGGCGGTACCTTTCTACGGCGAGTGAGTATCGTTTCAACCCCTTTTTTTGTGCTGTGTAGTGTTCGTTTCATGCACATTTCACGTAGTTTTGAGTTGTTGGTTTATTGGTTAACAACACATCGACATCTTTTGATAAGGCATGAACTAAATGTTTAATGTTATCGGAACACATTTTAAAAATCTGTTCACTTAATAGGTTTACAAAAAAACCATTAAAAAAGGAATATTTTTCATTGAAACATTAGAACCAGTTTAAACGAATTAATCGAATCTAAATTAATTTAAACCCCTTTTTTAGGAAAAGCGCAAAACCATCTGAAAACACCTAAACGATCAATTCATAATAAGTAGTTATAATTATTTATTCAAATTTATGACTAACTAGATTCCTAAATTGAATCAAATGATTATATCATCAATAATAAAGTGTACACCTCGAAAAATCAGAAATTTTGAAACTATCAAAGGTTAATAACTTAGTGTTAAGGATTTCAAACTAATGGCGAATTATAATCCCTGTGATTAACTGCTTAATTCCTTTAGTACCCTTGTTAGTAGATTTCCTCTTTAAGCCATTCCCTTCTTATAGCCATTAAATAAAATATTGATTTCCAGTTCGAGTTCTGATGAGGTTGATGATTTTGGTGCCTCAGGGGAATCCTCTCACGAATCCTCTGACAAATCCAGGTGAACTATTAGTATAAAATCCAACCAGCTGAATCCCTTCATTCCCCAGTAGACTTGATAATTCACAACTACTTAACAAAGCAAACACACCAGAAAAGTTTACATGCGAAACAACTTTAAAATTCCTTAAAAGTTTCAATATTTAAACGAGCAAGTATGCTTTATGTTCCTCACTGGTTCCCAAAACCCAATGACACCACATAAAAGTTGGCTAATGCCAGGTTCAGTGCGTTTTTTTATGACATTTTCAAGCTCAGAGACAGCCAGCCCTGTTTGTTCTTGGAGAAATTTTCGCCCCGCTAAACGAAACTGCAAATAAAGTTGACCGAAATGTTTATGTCGGGAAAGGTGGTGAATGCGCTGAAAGAGCAAAAAGTTCCCCCAGAAAGAAAGTCCAAAGCCCAGCGGAGTATTGACCTCAATTGATAAACCTTTAAACTGAAACTGTCGAAGAGATTGTCTGGCGATTATTCGCCATCGAACTTGGTTTTCGTTCGCCGCAATTGGGAGCATGCAAAAAAAAAAAAGGCCACGATCTCTGAATCTTTGCTCCAGCGTCTTGCATTTATCTTAGGTTTTGCGAAAGATACTGCATCGCAAGAGAACAATGTGCAACCTAAGTGGGGCAACACCGCGGGACTTGGGCAACTACAACATCTTCTTCCTCTGATCTTCTTAGCCGTTCCACACTTGGCTGACTTTGCAACCTTTGAGTTCAGACCGCCGCAGGGTTCATCTTTGACACACAAAATTCTGGCCCTGAAAGCAATTGACATTTGACACGGCAATAAGTGCCATTTTCTGTGGGCAGGTAATATGCCGACTAAGTACTACCCCCAAAAAAAATAAACTCTATAATCTGCCCTCGAACTGGGTCACCCACAATTTGTTTTTTCTGTTTCGCATTTCCCCCCCTTTTACGCTCTCTAAAAAGATTTTTTTTTATTCTGCCTGCCACGGCTGCGCTTTAATTAAATCAGGCAGCCATTTGGTTGGTTCCATCTCTGCCCTCGGCGTAAACATTTCCCTGGAAATAACTGATTCATCAACACCCGCCCTCACTCTGATTCCAGTCCCATCTCCCCATCTTCTATGGCCAATGGCTTTCGCTTTGGTCTCCAGCGGTCATAATTTAGTTTGTTTACCAATTTTATTCGTTTTACAGAAATTTGTTATGCATTCTCCGTCAGTCAATACTTTGTTTAGAAAACTAAAATTTCAAATATTCATAAATTTACAAGTCAATAAATTAGTTTTTTGTAGTTTTGAGAAGTCGATGAAGAAAACTTACGAACTTAATAACAATGTCTGAAAACTTATGTTTAAATGGTAGATAAATTATAATGAATTTTAATGAAAATTTATCTTGGACCATAAACAATATTTGATTGGAAAATATTTAAAATATTTGTAGAAAAAAACTATATAATAATAGAAATATATATCTTTTCTTCGTTAACTTATTTTCTTAAATAGTATTAATGAATTGCACATTTTTTAAAACAAAAGAATTATTTTGAGATTTGAAAAGCCACCTTAAAATTGTTTGTGGCTGAAGGCAAAGGAGTATAATTTTTATGATCATTTAATTGAATGGAAAAAAGCTTAATTTAATCTCAAATCTAAGTGCACTTCCCCTAAAAATCACAAAAGTGATCGACAGCAATGCTGACATAGTTGTATATCTAAAAAACGTCAAGAAAAAAGAGGCTCATCGAAACCTGGCCAAGCCTTCAATATCGGTCTGCCAGTTTAAGTCGCCTGTAAATCTGGACAAGCCGCTTGAAACCCTACCAATCACGTCCAGCCCGGATGAGTCACCTCAAAGCAGAACTCCAACCAGAAGAGAATTGGATACACAGAAGTACCTCAAAGTCAGCAACCGAACAAATTGTTTACGTTTTGCCTTTTCGGGCATTATTGTTTTATTATTATTTATTTCCAGATAGTTTCGTTTTGTTTTTATGTTTTTCTTTCTTTTTTTTCATTTAGCACTTATTATGAGTTTTTTTAATTAGCTACCGCGAAGCGAATTTTAATGACCCGCAGCGAGAAAATATATGTAAAGTTGGCTAACATTTTGGTCTTCTTAGAAAGTGTCTGAGTCAGTTTTGGCCTGTCTAGATTTCGAATGCATTGGGAGACCTAGTAAAAAACAAAATCAAATCCGTTGACATAAATCTCGGTTGATGGATGACAAGTGCAGGAACATTTCTCAAGTTTTGTGTGCCTTTTTTCAGCGATTGTTTCGGCATTTAAAAAGTTATTTTCATTTGATTCTCTAAAGTGTTCGACTGGGAGGCGCTTAGTATGCGGCTCAGGTAAATGCTGCGCAAAAAACCTAAACAATGAGCACGATCAGCATATATATATATATAGAGATATATAGTACATATATAGATATTTAGTTTCGTAGGGGTAGAGTTGAGCTTCTTTTTATGTGAGGGAACAATGAAGGCATATGAATTATTGGGCCCCAGTTCCGTTTCGATTCGTTCCGTTCACCATGGAATTTGCATGAAGAGAACACAAACACACACAGACCAGCATATACTATATAACACTAACCAACAACAATATACACCACCCACATACCAAACCCACCGATCTACAGCTTTATGCCACATTTAACCCACCCATTGCCGATGCATCGTAATCTCTTTGCGCCACTTGCACCGCTCGCGCCCCAAGATCCAATGCATGTCCAGGCTTCCCAACGGATGGCGAGCGTCTGGAACGGACCCGCCCCGCTGGCCCCACAGCTTCATTCATCATCTCAACTGTTGCCACTATTCAGCAGCGGATTCGACACTGAGTTCGTGCCCCTGGAGCATCAGCAGCCGCCGCAGGGACGCCAGGAACCGGGAGCCAACGTTCCCGTCCAGACAACAGGCGGTGTGGAACAGAAGCCTTTCAGTAAGTGGCTTTTATATATATTTTTTTATCATTCTTGTAACAAACTATATGTGAACCTTTTAGAGTGTTAGCCTAATCAAAGTCAAATCAATCTAAAATTAAATCTCATTCGAAATCTAAAATGAAATCTAATTCGTGACAAGAAAAGAATGAGCAAAAAATGATTTTAAGTTTTTAAATTGTTCAAAGAGATTGTAAACCTCGAGAAGTAATGGATTAATTATAGATTTTTCTGCCACTAGTATCATAAATTTAAATTTAATTTATATATTTGTGTCATAAAAAAGTTGTTTTAATTGCATTTCCTTATTTCAGATGTGGACACCATAACCACGGATGTGAATGCACCAAATCCGGCCATATTCTTCCAGCAGTCATTCCCCTTCTTTGGCAATGAGTTCTTCAATTCCTTTGGCGGCTTCGGCTTCGGTGCTGCCCAGGAACCCTGGTGGAAGGGGTAAGTAACCATAGATCAAAAAGGGAATCCCAAGAATCATTTCCCATAGCCAAAAATGACAGCAGTTATGGTCAGTAAGTTTCGCATACGTTTCCTAATCGCCGCACACGAGTGATTCTGTGTGGGGGACTTGGCCGTTCTTGGCATTTGGCAATTAAGAGAGCACAATGTCAAGTTCATTCGACCTATTAAATATGATTGTATAATGTTAAATGTGTTGTGTCTTCAATAGTATACTTTATAATTGTGTAAAGTTGGCTGGCTTATCGCCATTGTAGAGGCAATCGAGCATATCAATTAAATAATAAATACCTACTTAAATAATTTTCCATTCAAGATTACAGCCAGCTGAGGCTGTTTAAAGTTTCTAGGGCTCGATTGTTGCTTCTATTAATGGTCCAACCAGCTGGCCACTAACTATATATATATATATAGGGAAAGCGAATATAGTGCTTACTATATTGGATAAGTGCACATATATGTATATATACATTGTTTACAGAGCCGAGCTTGCACTTTTCTAAATTGTGAAATCAACTAGTTGTCATTTTTGCAGTGAGCGTGAACTCGTTGTCGTGGACCTAGTAAAATGAAAGTCAGAGATCTGGCAAATTGAAAAATTAGCTGCATAAAAACCTATATATATATTTGTATATATGAAAATCTATGGTTCAGTGGGAAATTTCTAAAAAAAAAATACAAAATTACGCACACAATGAGTTCGCATTCAGAAACAAAAATACGAAAAGTCTCATCGTTGCCATAATTGAATTGATGGACTGGCAAAGCTGTTAGGCCAACCCACGAACGCTTTTATATAGAAGCACGATTGTGTACTATAACTATGCTTTCTATGACGGATCATTGTGCAAATCCATTTGGCAAACACTCGGTTAGCGAGTGCTGATGAACCAACTAAGTTTGATTGCCTTTGGAGATATATAGTATATAGCCCGAATTATAGGCATATATGTAGTACATTGACATTGCCATTTTGCACGTCTGATATATGACTAATTCATTAGCATAGATTTTGTAGGCCTGCTTCGATATGGGGACTTAAGGAATTTCTAGAAAACTGAACTGGGGAGTTGTTGGAACTCAAATAAAATATAACATTTACTTTATAATTATTACCAATATTTGGTGTGTCTTTTGATAAAGTCTATGCAAGTTATAGTTAAAGACTTTAACTACATTAATTCACGATCTTGGCGGCTTTTAGAGCACTTCCCACCGTCCCACTTCCCCAAAGTTTACCCCAGAAAATGGTTAACCAATATCTAATTTTCCGCTTTATCCAGCCCCAATGTCTGCACCGAAAAAGAGGAAGACGAGACCGTGGCCACCGAGACGGAAGGTGAAGAAACCGTAGACACCTTTGGCCAGGAACGTGATGGTGTTACCAACGTTGTGCGTTCACCACTCTTTGGTCAGTTCCAGTTCAGCGTGAACTCCTGCGCGGAGAAGCCAAACAAGCACGTCTGCACCAAGATGTAAGAGGATTGCTGAAAGATTTCTTAAAGTTACTCAATAAAATGAAAATATTACCTCCTCCAGCGTAAACCAAAACGGCAAGAAGAAAACGCTGACGCTGACCCGTCAGTGCTGCTATGGATATGGACGCCCCAGGAACGCTGACTTCACAACGCCCTGCGAGAAGATCGACATCAAGGATGTGGAGGCCACGGCCAGTGATATGGGTGCCAAGCAGTTCCTCGAGAGCGCTCGCACTGCCGGCGAGTTGGCTGAGATGTTGGGTGGAGGCAGTGGCAAGAAGGTAACCCTCTTCGTGCCCAACGACGCCGCCTTCCAAGAGTATCGCGGTCACCACCAGCAGGAGAATGTAAGTAGTTCTTTAGTCATCTATAAAGGCAATACCAATATATCATCTCTTATTCCCCAACAGAATGTCGAAGATTCCAAATCCGAGGCTTCCAAGCCTTCCGTCTACAAACTGCACGCCGTTCTCGGCGAAGTTCAACTGGAGGATGTGCCCAACGAGCAGCTTCTGCAGACTGAGTTGCCCAACCAGAAGATTCGTATCAACAGCTATCAGCTACCGGCGGCTTTGGGTCTGGAACCCTATCGTTATGCCGCTAACTGTGTGCCCATTGAGAAGCACGACAAGCTCTCGGAGCAAGCCCTCGTCCATACTCTGGGCGGAGTTCTCAAGCCACTGACCAAGAACATCATGGACATCATCAGGGAGCGAGCGGATATGTCCATTATGCGCACTGTCCTGGAGAAGACCAACCTGAGTGCCATGCTGGAGGATGACAAGCCAGTAACCATCTTTGTGCCCACCGACGCCGCCTTCGACAAGCTGGAACCTCATCTGCGTCGTGCCCTCAAGGAGGGTCGTGGTTGTGCCTCAAGTGAGTAAAAGATAAAAATATATCTTCAGAATTTTCAATAAATCAAAACATTACCTTTTAACCCATAGACATCCTGAAGAACCACTTACTAGACCTCACTTTCTGCTCGGTGGCCACTGTTCCGGGAGCCAAGACGACCGCTTACAACCTGCTGGGAGAGCCCCTACTGCTTAACCGCACCCGCCTGGCTGCAAATCAGACTGGACCTGCTCCCATCTACATCAATAACCTGGCCAAAATCATTGATGCCGATATTATGGGAACCAATGGTGTCCTCCATGTGATCGACACTATCCTGCCCACCGAGTCTGCTTTGCCCATGACCTTGTTGATGTCAAAGAAGAATCTAACCATCTTCCAGAAATTGCTGGAGGCATCTGGCTATGAGGATCAGTTCGATGATCTGGATAACGTGACTATTTTCGCACCCACCGACAAGGCCCTTCAAAATACTGAGTGGGCTCGCATGCTCAAGGAACAGCCCCAGTTATTGGATCATAATCTGGATCTGCTGGAGTTCCTTAACTACCATGTGGTAAAGCCCATGATTAAGACTTGTGATCTGTCAGAGAAATCTCTGCCCACCGTAGCTGGAGCCAGTGTGCGACTCAATCTCTACTCCACACATGCCCTCTTCTCGGATGTGATGAACCGGGCTACGGTCAACTGTGCCCGCTTGGTTCACTTTGACGACGAGAGCTGTGGTTCCGTCCTCCACCAGGTGGATCGCGCCCTGGCACCGCCAAAGAATGTAAGTTTTATGAAGCTTCATCTTTATGGATAAATTAATAATTTGATTAATTTTCCCTCAGAACATGCTCAAGCTGCTGGAGGCAAATCCCAACTACAGCAAGTTCCTGGAACTCGTTCGCAAGGCCAATCTCACTCAGCTGCTGTCCAATGATTCAAGGAGCCTTACCCTGTTGGTGCCCAAAAACGATGTCTTTGAGGAACTGGTCGAATCCGGTGAAGGATCAAAGCCCACCGATCCCATGGCCCTGGTCAAAACGCATATCGTTGAGGATGTCGTCTGCTGTGCTGGCATCATTCCCACCAACTGGCCATTTGTTCGCTCCATTGAGTCCATCTCCGGTCAGCATCTGCGTATCACACGCGATCGTCGTCCCAAGATCGAGAACGCCGGTGTCACCAAGTGCGATGTTGTGGCCACCAATGGCATTCTTCACGAGATCAACGACATCATCGTTCCCCGCCCTCAGCGCCAGCAGCAGCGACCCCAGCTGATCCCACCCGGCGCTGGTTATCAGCCGCAGGGCGACTTTGATGTCTTCTTCTGAGCGGTGCTCGTCCCTATCTCATGCATATAATATATACAAAGCATATATTTATATTTACTCTTAACGATTTGTCAATTGATTGGAAGCCAGAATTTTATCTGATAAAAAAATAAATAGTATTACAAAAAAACAAGAACAGCCTTTTAGTTATAAATATTTATATTAATGTAAAAAAAATGTTGCATACCTGAAAGGCGTTACATTGTATTCTTTCAAAATAAATTTATTTATTAACAGCGCGCCGCAGCGAACTTCCAGATGTAGTTCTACGGTTGCCGTGTAAAGAGTTAGCATTCTCTTCTACAGCTTATCATGAAGAGATGCCTTCTAAGAGAGTCTAATCAATTTAGGAACCTCACTAATACACATTTAAAACACTATTATACCTCTAAAATTCTTATCTATAACTGAAAACCCAGAGCTCAGAGCATATAAAAGCGCATTGCTGCTTTGCTTTTCGTCTATTTGATCTTGTTAATTGAATAGTAGAAGATGTCGGGATCACTACCAGCTACCTTCGTCAAGGGCTTCCATAATGAGGAGCTGGTGCGTCGTATGGAGTACAGAAAACTTGGGTCCACCGGTCTGCGAGTGTCGAAAATTGCCCTGGGAGGGGCCACACTCTCCAAGCTGTTCTCCGATGACTTTGATCGGGAGGAGGGCATCCGCACAGTGCAAGAGGCTATAAAATCCGGAATCAACTATATCGACACGGCTCCTTTTTATGGCCAAGGCAAATCGGAGGAGTTACTAGGCCAGGCGCTCAAGGATGTTCCTCGGGAGGCCTATTATATAGCTACTAAAGTGGCGCGTTACGAGTTGGATCCGGAAAAGATGTTTGACTACACAGCCGCCAAAGCAAGGGAGAGTGTAAAAAAGAGTCTGGAGCTGCTTGGATTGGAAAGGGTGGACATACTGCAGGTGAGTTTGAGCATTTGGCTTATTAACTTCTCTTATTACTGGGCTTTTTCTTAAAGGTTCACGATGTGGACGCCGCACCCAGTCTTGACATTGTACTGAACGAGACCATTCCCGTCCTGGAGGAATTCGTGAAGGCGGGAAAGGCTAAATTTATTGGAATAACCGCCTACGATGTGGACGTGCTGAAGGAGTGCGCCGAGCGGGGCAAGGGTCGCATCCAGGTGGTGCTTAACTATGCCCGCTACACACTGTTGGATAACACACTCCTGCGTCACATGAAGGCCTTTAAGGAGTTGGGCGTTGGCATTATCTGTGCTGCCGCCCATTCATTGGGACTCCTGAGCAATGCCGGACCTCAGTCCTGGCATCCTGGTAGTCCGGAACTCTTGGCAGTGGGCAAACGGGCAGCTGAAATATGCCAACAGAGAAACGTTGAGCTGGGAAAACTTGCCATGTACTATACCATGCAACTGGATGGGGCGGCCACCTTCCTCATCGGCATCCCCAACAGAGAGCTGTTGCGAGTTAACTTGGATGCCGTTTTCGATGGACTCACTCCGCATGAGCAGGAAGTGCTGCAGTACCTGCGCGAAAAGTAAGTTGGCCAACAACTGGTTACGCTGAACAGGGAACTGTGCAAGTCGAATTTGGTGTTAGCAATTGCATCACGGGCACGAACTTGGCCTCAGCCTGACCAAACTGGTTAATGGGCAACCGATCCAATCCAGTCCAGACTGTTCAAGTCCAATCTCCATTCCAATCACCAAAATACATGTATTTCGTTTTCTGTCTTTCTTTCAGCGTTTTTACAAAGTCCTACAGCTGGGGTTCCACTTTATCCACGGTTAACATGTTCAAATGAGTGGTCATCCAAACTAGCAATCGAACTTAAGCTCTAAAACCAAGGAAATCATCGGAAAAAACAGGAAGAGAGGATTTGAAATCCACTTTAGATTAAAATTTAATGGAAATAAAAATGAAGTATATTAAAATGAAACAAACAAAAATTAATTTGTAACTATTTATTATTATTTTATATAAGTTTGAGTTGGAACTATGTTTAAAGTTCATACTTTATATTGTTTATTTTTGGCTAATAAAAGTTTATAGAGTTTTAAGATGAGTACAAAGTACTTTTTTCAGAAGCTTTATTAATTTCGATTGATTTTCAAATAGTCTGGGGTCTAAATTATTTATTATATTCTTTGTGTCTGTAAATAAATAATAAAAAGATCATAACAAACTTTTTTAAATCCAAGATAAGACCAAGTTAAGGTTGGGCCACAGATCAGATCGGTAGGCCTGCTATCGGTTACCTGCTATAAATAAGTGATTGTGTTTTAAAAAATGCAATCTATATAAATACATGTTTAAGTGTTTATTTTTCTGTATTCGAAGTACTCAAACATTTGTTTAAACAACCCTCAAGTAAGCCACACCGGATTGATTAAGTTTATACTTGGTGTTTATTTTGTTATGGGAGAAGAAAAGAGAGAGGGAGTAAGAGAATGAAACATATTACTGTATATAAAAAAACATTCTTTTTGGTTTCCAAGTTACTCTCTTACGAAATATGTTAGGGCTTTCCTCTTCTGTTCTCAACCCATGAAGAGAATATTTTAAACCATATTCTCTCTCTATACTTGATCTTGGCTACTTATACATACATATCATACGTAATACATTGAAACAGCTCCTATATATATATTTACAATAAATACTTTCCTTATTCAGTTCTCTTTGATAATGGGACAATCTCTGACTTTCCGAATATAAGCTAAATAAATTGCTATCTATAGCCAGTACTTCTCTGACAACCGATCGAATTTCAACAGAGTGCGAAACCTATTTGAGATTAGCAAAAATGTCTGGAACATTACCGGCCACCTATGTGAAGGGCTTCCACGATGAGGCGAAGGTGCGCCGTATGGAATATCGCAATCTCGGAAAGACCGGCCTGCAAGTCTCGAAAGTCTCTTTCGGAGGCGGCGCCCTCTGCGCCAACTACGGGTAAGAGAAATCTTAGCAAATTGAATTATTCTTATACACAGAAAGAAATATTTTTATGGATATTAATAAAAAAATTAGTATTTCGCGGGAGATTTTATTATATTATTTTTCCCTTTAGCTTCGAACTGGATGAGGGCATCCAGACGGTTCATGAGGCACTAAAATCAGGCATCAATTACATTGATACTGCTCCCTGGTACGGTCAGGGTCGCTCTGAGGAGGTCCTTGGCCAGGCTCTTAAGGATGTTCCTCGGGAATCCTACTATATAGCCACCAAGGTGGCTCGCTATGAGTTGGATTACGAAAACATGTTCGACTTCAGCGCTAAAAAAACCCGTGAAAGTGTGGAGAAAAGTCTGAAACTGCTGGGTCTGGATTACGTGGATGTCATTCAGATCCACGATATCGAATTCGCTAAGGATTTGGATATTGTCTTTAACGAGACATTGCCAACTCTGGAGCAGCTGGTCAAGGAGGGCAAGGCCAGGTTCATTGGAGTGTCGGCCTACCCTATTTCAGTGCTTAAGGAATGCCTGACTAGAGCGGCCGGGAGATTCGATGTAAGTTATTGGCATAAACGGCATTTAATTTAATAGTTAAGTTTTAAGTTACAATTGTCAAACGAATTTCTCTTCCAGACGGTCCTCACCTATGCCAGATACACCCTGACTGATGAAACTCTCCTGGAGTACCTGGACTTCTTTAAGTCCCAGAACCTCGGAGTGGTCTGTGCCGCTGCCCACGCCCTTGGACTACTAACCAACGGTGGACCTCAGCCATGGCATCCAGCCAGTGATGATCAGAAGGCCATTGCCCGAAAGGCTTCGGAGATTTGCAAGGAACGTGGAGTGGAACTGGGTAAGCTGGCGATGTTCTACACGATGAAAGGACTGCCCGAGGTGAGCACATTCCTAACGGGCATGCAAACACGCCAGTTGCTGCGGATTAACCTGGAGGCATTCGAACTGGGCCTAAACGATAAGGAGCAGGAAGTGCTGCAGTACCTGAAAGAAAAGTGAGTGTGCGACTCGGAAGTTGGCCAAAAGCGGCACAGCGAAAATTGTGCAACTCGGATACAATGTTACCATTACATCATTTCCACTTCCCTGCGGTTGAGGGGGTCCACTCCTCGGTTAGTTGTCCATATGTGTGTGCATGATCATTGTCAATCTTGGCCATCGGTGCAGTAGGCACCAGACAACCTCTTCCCGTTGCCCCATTCCCCCTCCGATTACTGACCACTTCCCACTGAACGGTCGTCTCCGCGCTTCCCCCTGCTTTGAGATTGAACTTGTTGGTCTCTCCACATTTTCGTTTCGTGCTCCTCGAGCATTACCAATGTGTGGGGCGGTTTTTTTCCTCCTTTTTCGCTAGCTAATTGAACGATCCTCTCTATTAAAGGCATTATGTAAAATTCAATTCAATTTCAATTTCAGTGTTTTTACCAAACCTTTCGATTGGGAGGGCAACGAACTGGAGCGGTATTGGGCAGCCTTAAAGAAGAAATAATCGGAGAGGATTACCAAAAACCAAACGAGATAAATAAAGACTTTTACCAAAAATTATTTGATCTCTTCTTTCCCTAGATGACCTTTAAGAGTGGTTTTATGATGCCCTAGAAATGAACTTGAAATTGTTTAAAAAAAGAAAAATCAATTTATTTTGAACTGAAAATGATAAGCATTTAATCAGGTAGTGATAATTGTTGCAGATAGCAAATAACAATAAGTAATAATCGATAAGGGGAAGTACTTCAAACATAAATCACAAAAAGGTGAAATAATATATAGGAAAGGTAAGTTACAAACATGATTAAATGGCTTCTTTATCAAATATTATGTAAGATAATAATAATTGCAAAACATAGTAATATTATGGCTTAATAATACATTTGTTTTATCATATGAAAAGAGTTTTAGCGTTTTCTTAATTGATTTAACAAAACTAGTCGAAAGTCAAAAAAGTTGTAGGTACATCTACTAACAGGAAAATTTCAGATGGGCAGCCAACACGCCAACCCCACAAATTATTCATTATTGAGAATATTTTTAATACAATTTTATCGAATAAAGCAATACTTAATTAATTTAAATTTGAATTAAAAATTTTAAATCCAACATTCAATATCACAATCACAAGGAGCCATAACCACTTAATCATGTTCAGCAGAGCTTCCACGAATTTCTCGAAGTAAATGCATTTTTCGGCCAATATTGAACACGACCACTTCCACCTTTCGCTGGCTTGGCCAGACCGAATCGTTAACTAATTACACTTTAATTAACGCAATAAACGAAAAACAAAAGATGTAAATAACAACAAAAGGCAGGTGGAAAACTAACAGAAAACCGCAAGGCGAGTCAAGACGAAAAACCACTGTTCAAATTATTAAATCTGTTGCATGAAGGAGAACCGAAACCGAGTCGAGACGTTGCAAGATAAAAACAAAATAAAAAAAACGGGGAAGTTTAATAACATTTTGAATAATGAACGGTAACAAAAAATCGGTTGAATGCAGCGCTAAAAATGCGAAACGAATGCACAACGGCAGAAATCCACATGCCACACGCGAAAAGCGGAAATGTCTTTGGAGCGATGCCGCATTTTGTTTTCCTTAAACTGACGCTTTAAATAAATATTGATACCCTAGTGGAAGGTGTTTTGAATTTACTTTGATTTTGTAGAAAGTGAGTTTGATTATTATTCTTGGTGTAGAAGGAAAAATAATATGGTTATCAAAAGGTTTCGAAAATACATTTACGTGCCATTTTTTAAAACCCAAATTTGTAAAACTTTTGGATTAGGCTCTTTTTAAAAACTCTAATCTTTATTACTTCGGCTTTTTATAGTCTTTTAGTCTTTGGCTTTTAATAGGTATTAACTTGTCCGGTTTTCCCAAAACCCTCCTTTCCTTATGGCTTTTTTCGCTTTTCCACTCGGCGATGCCAATAAGTTTTCGCCTTATCAAAAGCACAGTACAATTAAATACTTTTATGCTCAGCTATTGACCAAATTCTCAATGGCTCTCTGCTGTACCGCCTCTTTCTCTCTCTAGTCTCCTCTTTTAGTTTTCTTGTTTATTTTTCTCAGGTGAGGTAAGCAGAGCTTTCGAGTCGCGCTTATATGCGCTGCGCAGACGCAATCGCTTCGTCAGTTTCAATCTTGGCTTGCAGCTGTAAAGACATCTTCGAAACACAATAAACTCAGCGATAACTCAATATCGTTTTGTGTTAAATAATACTAAAAAGTTCAATAATATGTCGGGATTACAGAATGTCATTCTACTTTTGTTCACCTGCAATTTATTGCTGGCCGTCTACGTGTCAGCCAATAAGCAACAAAAACATCAAAATCAAGGTAAGATCAGGTCAACAAAAGAAAACGATGGCTGAATCATCCAGGTTGGGTGGAGAAATGCCAAGTTCTTTTGCCAAGGGCTTTTCTAGCCAGACCAAAATAAACGGAAACCGGTTTTAGGAGAGGCCTAATAATGCCGGCTATCTTAAAAGATGAGTGAACTTCAACGGTTCGTTGGGTAAAATGCCTAGAAATGTTAGGCTCAGGTGGATGTAACAGTTATTTCTATAAAGAAAGCCTAAGACCGTAACGAGAGAAATGGAGAGTAAATGCTTTACAGATTTAAAAGAAAGTTTATAGAACTATAGTTAATACTGGTATATAGCTTGTAAGCAAACATTTTTGAGAGTTTTACTTTATTTTTAAAATGAAATAAACTTTGTTGTTCTTTATTTAGTTACCGTTTTGATTTATTAGAAAAGATTGTTTTACATAATTTTGAAATTATTTTTTATAAAAATAACATAACATCTTTTAATATTTTCTTTCTGGAAAAACATTTTATAGTGTCATCTATTCTGTACAGTTAACACTATTAAAAGGGTAAAGAATATTTGGTTTATAAGTTTATACTTCGTTTTGGCTAAGACTAAAAACTAGTTTTAACGACCCACTTATTTTGAAAACATTTAAAGAGAATGAAAATGTGTTACATAAAGTACCTAAAATGTCACCCAAATAATGGTTTCGCCCTATTGCAGAAATCTGGGAACAAGACCTTTCGGACACCTTTAAAATCGAGGGTAGCGACCAGGGCATTCAAAAGGTGAATCTTAAATGCGGAGCTGACTCCATGAACGTTGTGCTGGAGACGGAGAAGCCCTTCACGGGTGTTATGTATACGCGTGGAAGCTTCTACAAACAGTCGGCACCGTGCTTCATGAAGCCCAGTTCCAGTCAGGGGTCCCGCACCATGGAGATGAACTTCCAGCTTGATCAGTGTCAGACATTGCGAGATGGAGACCTTTACACAAACATCGTGGTGATCCAGAATGATCCGGAGTTGATCACCCCCGGAGATTCGGCCTTCTCGCTGGAGTGCGACTTCCGGCAGCCGCGCAGCCTGGACGTGGAGGCCAGCATGCAGGCCAGGGACAGGTAAGGTGTCGGATATCAGTCCGAATCTCTGATCACGATCTCTGATCTGCAATAGAAATCCTCAAAAATTGCGCGGAGCACGCGGTGGATCCCGCCAGCGCCAATAGAATCTTTCATCCACTCTAAGAACTTTTCTCTTCGACTACAATCACCTCCAAAAGATGTACATAAGGTACAAGAGAGATGAAGCTGTTTTTTACTGCCCAAATACTAAAACCAGCCTAGTAGTGCCTATACTAACCTTATATAATATAATATAAAGGAGACACAATATTCACAGGTGTGGTCAACTTAGTAGTTTATGGAAAAAGTCAAGAAAAGAACAAAACTCAAAACTTAGGACTTTAGAAAAACGTCTTCGGTTTTTCGGGAAATACTTTTTCCATAACTTATCTTTAAAATCCAAACCAAAGATTCCTTAGTTGGCTCTATTATTTTGATCACATCCTCTAAGCTCACTACCCACAATACATACCAACATACATTCCACAGAGTGGCCCACTGGGTCCAAAATCACACTCACTAGTCCCGATCCCGCGGCACCAACGGAACATCTACACAACTCGGTGGTTAGCAACAGCGACTCGGTCGCTTACATACCAAAGTTCAGCAAGCCAAACAAGACCATACACTTGGGCTCAGTTGAGGAGGTGACGCTGCCATCGTCCTCCCAATCCCGAGATGAGCTCTAGGAACACTCACACTTCAAAACACGATTATTGAATAGGATACAAAATACTCAAAAACACAATCACAACACTTGAAAAACACAAAAATTACAGGTGAGATGGTAGGATACGCTTTTTGTTATATTATTTATTATTGCTCGCTCACATTTGTTTAAAAATATTTTGTATGTTTTTATACTAAATACAGTTTTTATAACTTATTTACAGGAAAATAGCACAGAATGCGACGCTAGCAACAACGCAGAAAAATTGATGGCAATTCGGCGACAGATGTACTAACACCACTTCATGTATTTTCATTTAAATGGTTTTTCATATCCTGTGATATTTTTTAAGTTTGAGTTTAATAAAAACTTTGCCAAAATACAGCAAATTTTGTTTCCTTAAAGAGTTGTATCAACAATTATGTAAATTTTAAAAAATACCGCAATATCCAAAATGGAATTTAAAAAGACCGCAATTATTTAAAGTAAGGTGTATGACCAACTCAACTACTGCCTTTAATCCACTGCTTGGTATATTTATCATAAGCCACTCGGTCACACTAAAGCACAATAAAAAATAAACAAAAGTCCCGTAAAAACGAACTAATACGCACTACAAGAGCAAAAAAATTTCAAGTTACTTCGATGCTTAACCTTGAAAAGGGGGAAATTGTTGATACGTGGCCATAACCACATAATATATAGCTTATAAAAAGCTGGGGAAGGGCAGGCAGATATCAACCTGGCCGCACTTTTTTGCACTTATCATTGCGCAGTCACAATTGTGAATTGCACAAAGAACGTCAATATTTGTAAATCGAATTAACGAACGCTGCACCCAGAAAAAACGTTTTCCGCTGCAGAATGGATCATCGTGTTTTTCTGTCGCTGATCTTTGTGCTCAGCGGCACCTTCAATGTTCTGGTCGTGAAGTGAGTACACAGAAAACCCTTTAATAATATCACACCGAAAACATCTAAACAAATATGCATATTTTCGTGTGTGTTGCAGGTGGGCTAATCAAAACCAGGTGATTGGCAGCGATGGAAAACTACATGGATTCCAGCATCCGGTGGTTTTCACCCTGCTCATGTTTCTTGGCGAATTCCTTTGCTTTATCGTCTTTAAGCTGATTCGCCTGATCTCCAATCGTCGTGGAGTAAGTTCTGACCTATTGAACCTGTAATATTTATAATATACTGTATAATCTACAGGTCATCGCCGATCTGGATAGCATCTTGACCCAGGACAGCAGCGAGTTCGGCCCTTTGAGCATGCTTCTACCTACCGTACTGGACGCGGTTGCATCCATTCTGCTGTTTACCGGACTTTATTTAACGTACGCCACCAGCTTCCAGATGATAAGAGGTGCGTTTATCAGTGGCGAGCATTGTCTATCTTTGTTAACATTGACTCATCTTCCCCTGCAGGCGCCGCTCTGATCTTCGTGGGTATTTTCAGCACCATGTTCTTGAATCATACGCTCACTAGTCGGCATTGGCTTGCCATCTTCACCATATCCTGTGGTCTTTTGGACATTGTCAGTCTGGATGTTCATCGCGTTGACTATGACCAAGTCACATTGCCCTACACAGATCACAAAGCCATTCTGACCGGCGACCTGCTTATCATCATAGCCGAGATTCTGCATGGTCTGCAGTATGTTTATGAGGAGAAACAGCTTAAGACCTCAAATGTAGCACCATTGCAAGCTGCCGGCTGGCAGGGAATTTTTGGATTAGTAATTACCTCGTTGCTGGCAATTTGTATGCATTTCTTACCAAGTGTAAGTCCCTTCAACGAGAGCTCTCGTGCCGTCTTTGACGATTGGAGCGATCTCATTGCTAGTCTACAGGATAATCCTCCTTTGATTATGGCCCTGATTGCTTTTACCGTTTCGTCTGCTTTGTACAACTTTATTGGACTTTACATTGCGATGTACTCGTCTAGCGCGAACCGCCTACTGGCCGATGGTCTACGCGTATACTTCATTTGGGTATTCGTTATTTTGTGGGAATGGGAGTACATGAATCTTATTACGATCATGGGCTTCCTGATCCTTCAAATGGGCATCATCCTCTATCGACAGGCTCTTTTCCTGGACTGGTATCGATCTGCTGTGGCTCGCTGGCATCGTGCTCGTTACGTCGACTTGAATTCGGAGAACGCAGGTGTGCCCAACAGCCGACCAGCAGATGTGATCTAAGGATACTAAGGGATTGCAGGACGGAAAGGAGTCCTAACATCCGTATGAGGTGGATTGTGATAAGAGAGATGGGTTGTAAATCGACCTGGGCTGATTCTTGAAAAATACTTATCAATTAAAAAAAATGTAACATTTAGATTCTATAAGCCAATACACACATGAAATGTTATTCGAGTTTCTATTACTACAATTATTTAAACTGAAATTAACCTCTTTTTTGTTTAAAAACATAATTTATTTATTTAATTTTGCACTGATAATTTTTAAAAATCTCATTAAGGGTTTCCATTTACTTTTCACATTAGACTGACTTTTTTTGCTCAATGCCTAATATTTGTTCACCAACACCCAAAAAGTAAAACATTTGGGCGATCCCGAATAATGGAGCTACCACCATTATCCTACATAGGCCGCCTTTAAAGAATGCCGTGACACCCTCTTTTTTCAAGGTCTTCCGCACACAGTCCGCGATGCCATTGTACTCCTTTTTGATATCGCCCTGCAGCCGAGTTTTGATCACATCCAGCGGTGTAACCGTAAAGGCACCTGTCATCCCAGCTAGTAGACCAGCTATCAGAGACCAGTAGAATACCGCTTCACCCGAACCGTCCGACTTGCGTGGCCCTTTGTCGTTTATTATTGCCATTAATGGGAAGTACAACACCGAAAATGTTATGTCCCGCACTCCAGTAGCTCCCACTCCCTTGTATAGCCCTAGGATGCCACGCTCACGCAAGAGCTCCTTGGTAAGACCCAAGGCGGAAACCTGTTTGAACTCCCGGCCTTCTGCTTTGGCGGCAGCAGCCATGCGCCCGGCGTCTTGCATTTGGATCTTCAGAAGTTCCATTGGGGTTGTGACTACGATCTGGAACATTCCAGCTAAACCGCCCGCCAATCCTGCTCGCGGTAGTGAAAGAACGCCTTGTTCAGTAGCCAACTGATACCGGAAATAGTCGTTTGCAGCCAATTTAATGCTCTTTTCGGGTGTGACAAGTATAATGTTAACCGCCGAACCCTTGTACATGCCAAAGAATCCTTCGCTGGCTATAGTCTTACGAAAACAGTCGGCACTAAGTAATGAAAATAAAACCCCATGGTGAAAATATCATAAAACACTACCAAAACTTACTCACATGCTGGTGTACATGCGCTCGCCATTGGGACCGATTTGCTGGTTTTGCAAGCGCGTCTTTACCAAATCCATTGGGAAAACGCATGTTACTCCAATAATCCCAGCTATTCCCCCATTTATGATCTTTGGCAAAATACTGTGTAGAGGTCGGAATTAATTAACCAGTATCAGAGACCTGCATTCGACATACTTGAACTTTTCAGCTTTCTTTTGATCGGCTACATTCAACATTGTATTTCTCTACAGCCTAAAGAAAATTTAAACATCTAGCCGAAAATAAGCTTTTAATATGTATTATAGAATTTATTTCGTTTGTTCATTTCTGACGGTTTTCATAAAGCATACAATTGCTCTAGTCATGTTTTTGAATGCTACTAAAAGTTTAACTTTCGCCTGGCAGCAAAGGAAAATGCATTACTAATACAATTTGAGGCAAATGTTCATGGATAGTTGCGGATTGCTCAGAAAAGAAGACTAAATAGAGAGAGTGTCCAAACACAACAGTTATAAACTATGATATTAAACAAAAAGTTTACATAATATTAGCGTTGATGTTGTTATATCTTATTGTCATTTGGAGCATCAGTTAACTTCTGCCATGGTCTAAATACATAGTATATATATTTTGAGTAGATTAATGGGACTGGGGAAAACTTTAACAACTGCATTTGGTACTTGACTGGATAGCGCACCTTTCGATTACTTTAGCTTACTATAGAGACTTCACGATTACGTTCATAGACAGCTTTAACAACATTTAAACACGATATACATACACATTCAACATTCAGAGTAGACTTAAAATGCTTCGGTCTTGTCAATACGCCTTGGCGAGTATCTATATAAATCCCCCTACTTTTTCTGAACACCCAGCAGACCCTCGGCCACGCCCAGATAGTAGACAGTCTGAGCAATTCCGAAAAGAGGAGCAATCACAATCATTCGGCACAAGCCGCCCTTGAAGAACGCAGTGGGTCCCTCGTGCTTCAGCGTCTTACTAAAAAGAATAAACAGTGATTAGGGCGATGAGGACTTTATATATATATTTTCTGCACTCACGTGATGCAATCAGATATGCCTTTGAACTCTTTCTCGCCATCAGCCTTCTTAATCGCCTGCAGACGCGTCTTAACCACATCAAAAGGATTAACCGCTAGAGCAGCGGTAGAACCGGCCGCCAGTCCCGCCAGGAAGGAACACCTTTATTAATTATAACATAGTTATAGTAAACCTATTTACAATTTACAATTTTTAAAATGAAAACTCACCAAAACACAGCCTCGCCAGATCCATCATTACGCCTGGGACCCAGATCATTAAGTGTAGCAAATAGGGGGAAGTAAATCACTGAGAAGGTGACATCTCTTAGTCCTGTAGCGCCGATACCCTTGTACAGTCCAAAGATGCCCTTATCCTTGATAAGCTGCGAGGCCAACTGGGTGGCCGACACCTTTTCCACCGTCTTGCCGGCCAATTTTGCCGCCGCCGCCACTCGGCCAGCATCCTGCATTTGAATCTTAAGCAGCTCCATGGGCGTTGTAACGATTATCTGGAATGCACCCGCTAGACCGCCGGCAACCATCTGACTGGTCAGCGGAAGTTTGCCATCCTTGGTGGTCAGCTTGTGGCGGAAGTAGTCGTTAGCGGTCAGTTTGATGGCCTTTTCAGGCGTGATCAGCAGAATATTCACACCAGAGCCGCGGTACATGCCAAAGTATCCCTCGGCTTTGTACGTCTTGCGAAAGCAATCGAACCTAGGGAGGTATTAAAAAGAACAATTAGGAGTTTAATATTAAAATATAAAATTTTATTTACTTGCACATACATGCTGTTGTACATGCGTTCGCCATTGGGTCCGATCTGCTGGTTCTGCAACCTCGTCTTGACCAAGTCCAATGGGAAGACACATGTTACTCCAATGATTCCCGCAATTCCACCGTTGATTATCTTCGGCAGTAGGCTGTAATTAAAAGAAACGATATCAGGGCATTTGCTAGTCGTTACCTTATTATGCCTGGCTAATTGACAATTATTTGCACTGCGTTAACTTTGCATACACGTTCTCAGCAAGCGGCAACAACAAAATGTAAACAATGGTCTTATTGGCTTTGAACTTGGCCCACATACACTATCACTGTTCTTAAGATACCACAATTGAGTATTCAATTGAGGCAGAAGAAAGGTCAAATGGGTTGGCCATTAATAAGGAAGAAATATTTGGTGGTTTGCCAAATAAAACGTAGACCGTATATATGTTGGATCGATATATCTAGTCGTATCTTGGGTCTATTTTCGGTTTTGCATTTTTTAAAACAACATAGAGAACAAAAACAAAGTGCAAAATGCAATCATATTATATCATAGTATTGCTGTCTTTGTCTTTAAATTTGTCCCAATTTTATTGAAACTAAACGGGGGTAAGAGTGGGGAGAATGGCTGAGGGCAAAACACTTCAAAATGAAATGTGTACAAATGTCTATTCATGTGACGAGTCTTTAACGATGATAAAAAAGTACAGTGGGTATTCGGTAAGAGTATCAAGTTTTAAGATTATATTTTTTGAAGATTAGAAACTTAGACTTTTTCATTAGGTACAAATATTTTAAAAAAAATAATAATAATTATATTATATTTTTGAGGTCATGGACTTTTATAAATAAAATATATCTATTAGTATATCAAGAAATTCGTTTTTTAAACCCGTTCAAATTTCTGTAGATGGTGGATAACTTCATGAAATTAAAAATATTGGATTTTATATTTCATAAAAAACACCATTTTAAGATTAATTTAAAAGATGACTACGGTAAATAAAACTCGAAACTTATAGATGTCTGAAGTGCCAAAACTAATTAGTTTCACATAATTTTACCTTAAGTCACAGTACAGATAAGTGTTTATTTTTTTTATTAAAGTGGATTGTTTTTTTTGTTTGACCGTGCAAAAATACATTTGTTAAAACAAATATGTTTTGTTTATTATTAAGATTATATTACGAAGGCTAATTGAAATGTTTATTGATAACTTACGCGAATTGCTGGTGCTGTGGCTGCTGCAGCGGTGTTTTGTTGGTTTCACTGCTCGACATACTGCGAAAACACATAGATATAGATATTATATGATTTATATAGGCACATATCAAGAATCGGTGCAAACCGGATTGTTTATAATATAGAACAAAAGAAAATATGTAAAGCCTACAAGAAATAATTTGAATTTTCACCACTGTAAAAAACTCGGAAGAATTGGTAATAAATAAAGACAATAAAGCTCATAAGCAACTATCACTACTGTCCATTAAAAATATTTTTTTTTTTATAGGTTGGTGATAAGCTGAGAACGGGATCCAAAGTTTATTGACATGATCGAAAAGCCCCACGGAGATTAGCAGCATATCAATGGAAGCCATTAGGCTGCACTCGCGAATAAATATTTAAAAATGCTTCGTTAGCACAATTACATGGGATGTGTGAATCGAAAAAGTTTATCAACATTTAGCGGCCTTAACTATATCTGTTAAGCTATCAAGGCCAAATAACGGGTTATCCACATTGCGCAGACGATAAGAATGTCTGAACCTGTTATATCTTCTCTTTTTTTTGGCTAATTAAGCATAAAGATATCAGCAGTTTTCATAAAAGTCGGCGGATATAGTTAGGTTAAAAACACCACATAAGCCATAAAGTACTATAAACTTTTGATGATAAAAAATATTATTAAACCATTTTAGATTGCGGCGTCAAAGGTAAATGGCAGTCCAGTTATTGATTATTGCCCAAAGTGTAGGAGAATTCGGGTCGAGGGGCTCGGCTGTTTATATGGTGAGTGCTATTTTTTCTGTGCTCCGCGTGCTTTACCTTTCCGCCAGGTGATACACTCCTTCGATAGAAGATTACGATTATTGGAGGCACACTTATTTTTTTATTGGGAGCACTGGAGAAACAACCACTTGTGTGGGATTTTACGTAATTTGTCGTGTTTACCACTAGGATCGAGCACCTTTATTAAATTAAATTGATTGCCACACTCTCTTCTGATACGTATATATGGGTTTGCATGTGTCTCTCTCGCAGTTCATTAAATGTTTAAACAAATTCCTTGCCCGTAAACTTCCCCTCAAGCAGTAGACCATTACCACGATATTTAACTCACATTTCACTCGTTGATGCTAAGCTCGAATAATTGACTTGGTTACTTTAAACTTAACGGTTGCTCCGCGTAAGCAACTTTTATTTTCGAAGAATTAAACTAAATTAAAACTATTTATTGATACTCTCTTCGCGCGTCGCCGTCGTTTGTGATTCTTGGAGTGACCGTAGTGATATCTTTTGAAATATGTCTTCGGCTCAAATTAACTAAGATGTATATAGACAAACAAATCGACAACTGGTCACACTGACCAACAACTTAATTTTATATTCGTTTTTTAAACATTTTTAAAAATGAATTATTCGAAATCAATTTTTAAGCGATGTTTTATTAATATATAATGCTATATAATAATTTATTATAAAAAATTCAAATTGGCACTACCGATAGTGTTTTAAAAGCTTTGTATATATCGATAAAATCACGGCTGGTTAACCCAGCTCTAAAGCAACAACAAGAAAAAACATTCTTTTCTTTCACATAAAAAAGTGTTCTTTGATAATTTACTAGCTTAAAAGGGGTGCAAAATGAGTTCAGCTCGTTTTGCGCGTTCCGGGCGCGTCCGGATCTGCATTCTGATGACCATGTTCATCGTACTGATCATGATGATAGTAATCTACCAAATGTCCCAACACCAATTGGATGAGAGCCGCGCCTTCCAAGAGGGCCTCAGTGTCCAAATGCAATGTGGGTCCATTTAAAATTTTTTTTCAATACACACACTGATTATGGGGACATTTACAGCTCTTAATGCCGAGAAGCTGACTGCAGAGAAAAGAATGAGCTTGCTGCGCACTGAAAAGATGAGCCTGCAGGAGAAGTACGAGGGTCAGCTGGCAGAAGCGGTGCAAAAGCAGCAGGAAACGGAGCGCGCCCTTCAGGAAAAGTTCGACGCCCAAGTGGAGAAGTACAAGTTGTTGGAGCTCCAGTACTCCGACCTGGAGGCCGAGTGTCTTAAAAGCAAGAAGAAACACATAGAGGATACGAATGCTTTCGACCAAAAGCTGCAAAAGGTCCTTGAGGATCTCCACAAGGACAAGGCTAGCAAAGAACACGAGGTGGCTGCTTGGAAGGTATTCAGTCTTAAAGGGAACATTGAATTTTTTATAAAAATTTTGATTCTCTAGGAAAAAGTGGACAAAGTAAAACGCGATGGGGAGCACAAAGTACACACCCTGGAGGCTACAATAGCGGAATTCAAGACCAACTGTAACTACGTGCCCAAAGTCCAACCAGCTGAGGGCCCGGCCCATGGCCACCAGCAACAGCTGAACAAGCCCGTCGACCAGATGGCCACCACACACCATTCCAATACCGCCCAGTTGGCGCATAGCATCGAAAAACCGCGCAACGAGAAGTCCTTCGATGCCCAAGTGCAAGTGAGTGAAGGCCTCTACAGGATTGGCGGCGGGGTAAATCTGCTAGCATCTAACCCAAACCAAAACCAAACAATAGCAGCTACTAACTCTACAATTAAGAGTAATGGTGACGGAACCCAGTCGCAGCCAGAGCAGCTGCCTCTGTTGCCCTTCGCCGTGCGCAACAACCATAGCCTCATACTAAACTCTGTTGAAAACTTTCAGATTGTGCCCAAAACACTAAATGAGAAGCAGCAGCAGGAGGAGCCACAGTTGTCCGGGGGCCCTGTTTCCCCGCTAAGCGCTCCCCGCAAGAGCAGCACACAGGCCTCTGATGGCGGCGTGGGCGGCAAGAAAGCCGGAGATGCTCCGAACGCATCCGTGGCCCCTAAGGTCAGCAGTAGCAGCGGTCTTCCTCCGCTCGCAGTACCACCAGCCAAGACGGAGCGCAAACTTCCCGAAAATGTCGCTCCCATACCCGAAAACTTTGAGGACAAGGCGGATACTAAGGCCGACGCTGTCGATGTAGACACAGCCGCCGAAGAGTTGCCCAAGAACGAAAACAATAATCGTTACGTAAACGTTGTGAATGACCTGGAGACCAACAAGAATCTTGGTGTGGCACCCAAACCCGTCGAGGATTCGGGCGCCCACGAAGTCAAGGACGCGTTAAACGAGCCTAGCTTTAATTTACCCCCTGCTGGAGGTGGCCAAAACTTCTTTGATGGCGAATTGCCGGCTCCTGGCCCAGGACCCGTGCCCGATGAGCCAGCTAAGCAAATGGCTGAGGCGGCAGGCGCTGGCGGAGGAGGTGAAGGAGACGATGATGATGATGTGGGAGATGTGGCGGTAAAGCAGCCACAACATTTACTTGATACAGACAATCTAAACAACGAAATTGTGGCTGACCAAGGCAAGGAGTTTGTCGAAGGAATTCATCTGGAAGATGGCATGGATGAAGATCAAGATGGTGAGTTCATAGAATTCATTTTAATTGATTGGTAAACTAAAACATTTTCGGTAATTGCAGAGGACGACTACTCAAATGTTGCGGCGCGTAAGAAAGGAGGCGAGGTCATTAGACATTAAGTAATATAATTTTCTATTAATATTGAGCGGTACGTGTGCAAAGGCTTAGAAAATCCTTTATATTGAAGCCGTGCTCCCAAATCCATAGATTTTAGAGATCTGAGTTTGTCATAGATGATAGATGATTCAGCAAACCAATCAATGAGTTTGTATGATAATTGGAGATTATAAATCGAAATCTAACCAGGGTTGAGCACGCCCTAAGCTACATAGATTATAAGTAAAATATAATGTCATGACTACCATCATTTCGTCAATAGCAAATGAAAAAACAAAAAAATGCAGAATATACAATACTCTGAGATGGTCAGATTATAGTGTGAACTGAAATCTATCCAAAATTAAGACTGGTTCAGTTCAGCTTTACAAAATATTTGTCGCAAAACTAGATGAACTTATTTCCTTTGAAAATTCCTTAATCATTTCATTCAAAATTTTACCCATCTCAAAAATGTAATCTTGCGCTTTACATCTTCGTACAATATTCCCTTGTACTTGGTTTTCTGTGATAAAAATAACTCGCTTCACTGCATTTGGGCAATGTTGCCTGTTTTTTTGTCGCTGCCTCACAACATTTCGCATTTGCATTTGAATTCAGCCAACTCATTTTGCTAGAGATTAGGTAGCCACATAAGATAGGAATGTACACACCGACACACTCGCCTAGCATTCGAAAACACACACAAACTTTATTGGTAATGATAATAATAAACTTAATTCATAAATGTTAATTTCTCGAAACTGGCTAAATGAAATTTTAAGATGCCATAATTAAATTACCCGGCGAACTCTAACTAAAACTGTAAATTAAAAGAAAATAACTCAGAATAAAAAAAGGATAGGTTCACTGCGTGTGCGCCAGGATCCATGGGTGCATCATTACCTGATCCAACGGCAAGCGACGCTGCGGATCGAGGACCAGCAGCTTGGAAATTAAGTGTGCTGCTGCCTTGGAGATGTGCTCCGGCAACTTGTAGTCTACCTTGAGGATCTTCTTGTAGGTCTCGTCATAGTTCTTTGAGTAGAAAGGGGCATGTCCTACCAACAGCTCAAAACAGAGCACACCCAGACTCCAGAGATCCACGTTTTTTGTGTGCGGCTTACCCTGTACCATCTCTGGGGGTAAGTAATCCACAGTTCCACACAGAGTCATGCGCATAGAGTTAGGTTCGTGCACGGACCAGCCGAAGTCCGCGATCTTCAGGACACCCTTGTGACCAAGCAACAAGTTTTCTGGTTTAATATCCCTGTGGATGATATCCCGCTCGTGTAGGTAGAGCAACGCAGAACACAATGCCTGAATGTATGTGGCCGACTGCCGCTCATCGAAACGCTTCAGAGGCTGTGCCTGCAGAGCATTGAATAGGGTTCCTTGCGGCGCGTACTCTAGGATCAGATAGATGCGGACATCATCATGGAAATATGCGTACAGACGCAGGATGTGCGGGTGCCGCAGATGTGACTGTATCTCAATCTCTCTGCGCACCTGGTGCTCCACATTTGACTCGCCAATCTGACGCTTAAAAAGTACTTTTAGAGCAACCACAAACTGAGATTCTTTTTCACGTGCCAAATAAACATTGCCAAACTTCCCGCGTCCCAGCAGCCTGCCTATATCAAAGTTATTCAGCTGCCAGGTTTTTTTTGGCTTCTGTGGCTGAGTTTCTATATGAAATTACATTAGATGATTAGGATAAGATTATATTTAAAAAAAAAACCCACCAGTCTTTGCTTTCTCTTTGTCAATGGAGTTGCCTGAGCTGCTGTTCGCTGCAGCACCAGACTCCGTAGAGGATTCTCCAGAAACCCCAGAAGGCGATTTCTGTTTGGGGACCGCATCGGGCTTCTTAATCGATGCCACTGGAGCAGGAGCTACAAACTCCGAGGTAGCCTTTTTCACGGGAGGTACCAGTGGCTTCTGAAACTTGTTCCCTCCGGAAGGTAATACCGAACTGGAAGATCCTAGACCTGGTTTAATGGGCGGACGCACACCAGACGCAGCACTCCGGATCACAAGGCCAGATGATCCCGGCAAAGGCTTGCTGGCTGGAGCAACGTTCTCACTGGTGGGCTGCATTAAAATACGATATAATTATAAATATAGGCAAATTCTAGCGATGTTCACTTACCTTTTTTCCCAACAGCAGGGTTTTTTTCTGCATGTTAAGAACGGCAGCTGATATATCCGGCTTTCTGGGTTGGGCATTTTCTTTGGGACGCAGCACATGGTCAGAAGGATGGGACATGGCGGCACAAGCACTTGACAGTTAACAGATTAAATTTTTGTCAGAAAACAAAGGTAAAAAGTTGCTATTGGGTGAAACATTCACGAGCCCGGGTCCTGTGAAAATAAAATGCCGTTCGTTTGAATTGTGAAGCGGGTGTGTGCGTGTTTGTGTGAATGGCAAACAAGCGATAGTATCGATTAGTGAATGGACCTCGTGACTTCTTAGTGTTACAAGGTAGTCACAGAATTACACTGAGTTAGATCTTCATTTTCAAAAACAAAAATGTCGAAAAATACCATGTATTTTAATTAATATTGAAATAGATTAATGAATAATGGTTAAATAATAATATATTTTTGTCGAACAATGTAATCATTTTGTGACCACAACTAGAACAGCTGTTATTTAACGTCCATCTCTAATAGCCAGCTGATGTCAACAAAGTTTCTTAATATTTAATTTGTTTTAAGATGCAAAATCATGGAAACAACCGAGATACATGTAAATATAAGCTCTCAGACGTGCCGCGTCTGCCTAGAGGCCCATGAGACCAATCTGTGTCTCAACGATGAAATCGAATACAACGACGTGAGCATGGAGCTCTGGCAGCTTTTAGAATCCGTTTCCAAAGTAAAGGTAAAGTAAAGATCTACTTTAAATTTGATCTGCAGGGGATAATCATTTTTCTCCTAATACTAGTATACCTGGATGGATCCAAATCTGCCGATGCGGCTGTGTCAAAACTGCACCCGGCGACTAATAAGCGCATACGAGTTCATTGTAGAGGTAGAAAACGCACAGGTTACTCTGCAAAGTCTTTACTTGCAGCAGGAGATTGATTCGAAGCCGGAGGAAAACAATATGGAAGTAGTGGAACCGATTGAGCAGGGGAATACGGTTGCTATGGAAGAATTCCTACCCACCTCTTTTGAAGAGCAAGAGGGGGAAGAAGAACCGCTTTTTGCAGACGAGGATCACGAAAAGTCCAATCAGCTGCATCTACTGCCGGAGGAACCAGAAAACAAAGAATTGTCCCATTCGCGACCATCCCAACTGGGTAGTCGTTTGACTCATTCGGAGAACTTTATCTTCAAGTGTGCCATCTGCCCTCGAGTTTTCGCAAAAAGCGAATCCTTGTCTAGACACTTTGGGCATGCTCACAGGCTCACGGCGGACGTGGCCGCTCTGAAGCTGGCCAACGAGAGTAGCGGAACGGGTCTACTTACCTGCGAGTACTGTCCGCGTGAATTCAAGCGTCAGGATACTCTACGGCGACACATGCAGGCATTCCATCCTGACGCAGCGGCTTTGGAAACAGAAGAAACGCCGGAGAACGCCGCCCGGAAACGCATCGCCAAGCGTCGCGACTGTCCTTATTGTGGCCTAAGCTTTCCCGTATCCAGCCTCACAATCCACATTCGACGGCATACGGGGGACAACCCTTACAAGTGTGACCAATGCGAGAAAGCCTTTCCGCGCAGCCAGGATCTGAGTCTCCACATGAGACAGCATACCGGAGAGCGTCCCAGTGAGTGCAAGATCTGCTCCAAAAAATTCATTTCTCAAAATAAGTTAGCTCGGCATATGCGCCTGCACACGGGCCAAAGGCCATATTCCTGCACCAGGTGCAACAAAAGTTTTGTGCAATCCAACGATCTAAAAATCCATATGCGCCGACATACTGGGGAGCGACCTTATCAGTGTGGAGTATGCGGGGAAAGCTTCCTCTGCGGTTCGCACCTGAATATACATCGTAACCGAAAGGGTCATCAGGAGACTGTGATTCCGGGAAGAGGTGCCGAGGATACTGTCACAGCAGATCCATATATAAACGCGAGGGTCAACAAACGACGCGCTGAAGATATCGAACGCATGCGCCTGAAACGAATTCCGAGAGAGCAACTGGATCAGGAACAGGAAGTGGATCCCAATACACAGAGGTGCCTGCTATGGCCTACAGATGTGGTGTATGTGAGCAGAACTTCAAAAGCGGAGCCCTTCTGACCATACATCGTAATAAAATGAGCCACTATGAGACTGGAAGGGTCTTCGAAGATCCCTTCGGAGAACGGCAGAAAAAGCTAGAAGCTCAGTAAAACAATTCGCAGTCGTTCATTTGGATTAAAAATAAAATTGTAAATTTCATATCCTCATTTTTCAGCTCGAAATAGATATCCAAAATATAAAATTATGATTTATACTATTATAATTTAAGTATATTAGTTCCCTACTATCAATATACTAGTATATTAGTACAAATTAAAAAACAATTGTTTTTTTCTAAAATTTCAAAATAAATAATTTATTTTTCATATTGCTAATAACAATTTGTTGCTAACTTAAGACTGGTAAACTGTAATACTATATCGTCTAAAAGAATATTCGATCAAAACATTCTTGTCAGTCTCAAAAACTTAAGCGAAACTATGAATTAACCCATTGATGAATAAAAACTAGGAACTTTGGCTTTAGTCCACCTCCTCCACCGTGGGTCCAGAGTAGCCACCGAAACCTCCGGCCTGCTGTCCACAGTTGGCGCCTGGACCGCCAGCGGATCCCGCTCCCGCTGCCTGCTGATGCATCTTTGTCATGATAGGGGAGCAGTGGCGGGTGAGCTCTTCTAGCTTGTGGTCGAACTCCTCCTTCTCGGCGGTGGTATTGTTGTCCAGCCACCGAATAATCTCATTGCATTTCTCCAGGACAGAGCTCTTGTCAGCCTCTTCCAGTTTGGCAGCGGGTGCTTGCTCCACGGCCTGCTTCACATTGAAGACGTAGCTCTCCAAGGCATTTCGAGAGGTTATGCGCTGACGCTGTTTTTCATCTTCATCGGCGTACTTCTCAGCCTCGTTCACCATGCGGTCAATCTCGGCCTGCGAGAGGCGTCCCTTGTCGTTCTTAATCGTGATGTTCTTGGCCTTTGCCCGTGCTCATCTCCTTAGCGGTGACGTTTAGAATTCCATTGGCATCCATGTCAAAGGTGACCCTCTATTTGGGGCACACCCCTTGGAGCTGGTGGAATGCCGGACAGATCGAAGGTGCCCAGCGCATTGTTGTCCTTGGTCATCGCACGCTCGCCCTCATATACCTGGATCGATACTCCTGGCTGGTTGTCAGAGTACGTGGAGAACGTCTTGGTCTGCTTGCACGGAATGCGGCAGTTACGCTCTATCAACTTGGTCATCACTCCACCAGCGGTCTCAATTCCCAGTGACAGTGGGGCCACGTCCACCAGTAGAACGTCCTGGATCTTTCCACTTTGATCTCCGCTGAGGATGGCGGCCTGTACTGCGGCTCCGTAGGCCACTGCCTCGTCCGGGTTGATGGAAAGGTTCAAGTTCTTACCGTGGAAGAACTGCTGCAGCAGGCTCTGCACCTTGGGGATGCGCGTCGATCCGCCAACGAGCACAATGTCGTGGATCTGGCCCTTGTCCATCTTAGCGTCGGTTAAGGCCTTCTCCACGGGCTGCAGGGTGTTGCGGAAGAGGTCCGCGCACAACTCTTCGAATCTGGCACGGCTCACCTTGGTGTAGAAATCGTGGCCTTCAAACAACGCGTCGATCTCGATGGTGGCCTCCGTGCTGGAGGAGAGCGTTCGCTTAGCTCGCTCGGCAGCCGTCCTGAGTCGTCGAAGGGCGCGAGGGTTGGAGCGAAGATCCTTCTTGTATTTGCGCTTGAACTCCTCTGCCAGATGGGTGACCAGCCGGTTGTCGAAGTCCTCGCCACCAAGATGAGTATCTCCAGCGGTGGAGCGCACCTCGAACAGCGATCCCTCGTCGATGGTAAGGATAGAGACGTCGAAAGTTCCGCCTCCCAGATCGAAAATTAGCACATTGCGCTCTCCCTTGAGATTCTTGTCCAGTCCGTAGGCCAGTGCCGCCGCTGTGGGCTCGTTGATGATACGGAGCACATTCAGGCCGGCGATGTGACCAGCGTCTTTGGTGGCCTGCCGCTGGGAGTCGTTGAAGTAGGCGGGCACCGTGATGACAGCGTCCGTGATGCTTTCGCCCAGATACGCCTCTGCCGTCTCCTTCATCTTGGCCAGCACCATCGAGCTGATCTCCTCCGGAGCGAATCTCTTGGCCTCGCCCTTAAACTCCACTCCGATCTTGGGCTTTCCGCCGTCACTCACCACCTTGAAGGGCCAATGTTTCATGTCCTCCGCGATTTTGGGGTCATCATACTTGCGCCCGATGAGGCGCTTGGCGTCGAACACCGTGTTCCTGGGATTCATGGCCACCTGGTTCTTGGCGGGATCGCCGATGAGGCGTTCCGAGTCTGTGAAGGCCACATAGGACGGGGTGGTGCGGTTGCCCTGATCGTTGGCGATGATCTCCACCTTGCCGTGTTGGTAGACACCCACGCATGAGAACGTAGTGCCCAGATCGATTCCAATAGCTGGCATTTTGTGAGTTTGTTTCTTACTTGGTAATGGATACTCAGATGTATTCAACTTATTCTTCTTTTCTTCAGTAATAACTTCTTAATAAATATCAGTTATTTTACTTAATTCACTTTAACTTGCACTTTGTTGCAGAATGTTTAGCTTTTCAGCTGCGCTTGTTTTGCTTAGCTTTTGCTTAGCGATGTGTTTAGTTTGCTTGTTTGAATTCAATTGAAGCAAAGAGAACCGAGCGGCTGTATTTATACCCAGCCGCTCTCTTCGCGAACATTCGAGACTCGCTCTCTCGAAGCACCGAGAACTGTGTGATGTTGGTGGTGCGCCAGAGCAACGTACCGGACAATAACAGAGAGGGAGAGCCGATAATGTTGAGAGTGTAAGCAGAAATTGTTGTTGCACTCGAAATTTCTCGACATTTCTTTGGGTCAAAATACAGACCTACCGCAACAAATGCTATTTGTTTGGGATTCTGGAAAATTCGCGTTAACATCTTTATATAAAAGGCTGCGCGAATCAGATTACTTAAATTCAGAGACTACTTTTTATTTAGCGGGTAAGCACAGGGATTGAAAAAGTGCATTGCTATTCAAAATATGTACAAAGTTTCTGAACACTTCCTTCATCAATTACATATGTATGTATGTATATTCAAAATACAGGGGATAAAGAAACCTTACTTGGACGCAAAATTAATTTCTGTTTATTTAGTTTTTTTAAACACTTATAGCTCCTCAAAGGGGTATGCTTTGTTATTAACGGCAAAAACATAAAAATCCAAGCAAAGCCTAATAAGATGAAATCACATGAAATTATACTTCATTTTTGACAATCTCCAAAATAAAAATTTTAAAGAACTAAAAATACAAATAAATACATACATATGTATGTTTATATACACATTATATTTATTTCACTGAGAACTGTGGCTTAAAAAGTCTTCAGATGTCATCAGGTGTTTTTTAACTATGGTCATTTTAACAAGGGTAAAGCAGCCTTCCTTAAGGTCCTAAGCAAGGGTACGCGTCAATATTCCGGGTACCTTTAGTACAACTTTCTCATGAAAATTTTGTCCGTGCGAACCTTCAGTTTCCAACCACCTCCACTGATTACTTAAAGATTTTCTTCATTTTCCTTGAGACCTAAGGCATTAACAAAGTTTCCTGAAACGGAACACATTTCCACAAGCTGTGCAAGGAATTGGGAAAATCTTAAACATTTAATTTTTTGAATTTATTTTAAATAAATAAGAAGAAACGCTATAGTCGAGCGCCGTGACTATAAGATACCCGTTACTGCTTTGTTCTTATTGTCAATTCTGTATCTCTTATAGTTTCTCAGATCTCAGCTTTCATACGGTCAGACGGTCATGGCTTAATCGCCTTCGCTATTGATACTGATCAAGAATATATATATTATAATACTTTATAGGGTCGGAAACGCTTCCTTCTACCTGTTACATACTTTTCAAGGAATCTAATATATCCTTTTACTCTACGAGTCATCTCAGATCTAAATTGATAATTGGGAGTTACGCAATCATTTAAATTTAGTTAAATTTCATAAAAGCTCAAGATTTGCATTTTTAAATGGGCTTATTAATTCCGCATACTCTATCTTTAAATATTAAAAAATGTAAATAAACACAAATTAATGTGTGCATCCAAAGTAAAAGTGTCTTGACCCACTGAATTTATAATTGCATATATTAAATAAAATGATCACAAGGCCAAAAAACTGCCCAGGCATTTCCATGCTCGGTTCTGTACTTCGTCACGAGTCCCACTACAAATATCTTGGTGTGATTTTGGATAGAGGGCTCACCTTCCAGAGGCACAACAACGGTGAAGCAGTCAGCGCTTTCAAAGGCAGCAAGTATGTCCTGGCTATTTACGTCAAGAAATAAGCTTTCTTTGTCCAACAAAGTTCGAATTTATAAATCGATTCTCAGTCCAATCTGGAAATATGCACTACAGGCCTACGGCATAGCGTCTAAGTCGAACCTAAACAAAATACGTGTAGCGCAAAGCAAGATTGTCAGATCGATTTGTAATGCCCCATTGTTCATGAGAACCAGAGACTTAGAAAGAGATCTCAAAATCCCAAAGATAGGCGATGTTTGTCGAACGCATGCTGAAAACTACTTCAGAAGCCTTGGCGCTCATCCTAACTCCCTGGCGAAGAGGCTAATTTGGTGACCAACAAGAAGAAGACTTAAAAGATACCTTTCACATGATATTCCATTAAAAAGTCTGCTGTAATTTAAACTGTAAATGAATAGAAATATTGTATAACCTTTATACCAACACTTTGTTATCCCCTATATTTAAAACCTGCTCAAGCTGCCACATAGGTAGCAGTATAATGTTAATTCTGAATAAATATAAAAATTTTTTTTATTATTATTTTGGGAAAATGAAGATAGAAAAATGGCCAGAGCCAAGCGGAAGCCAATAAAAGCGTGTCCCTTAGCGAGGAGCAGGTCAAGATTAGTTGAATTGGATTTCATCGTAGACACTAAGAACTTCTCGAAAATAAAGTCCACGATTAATAGCAGCAGCGATCAGAAGTGTCTTTAGTGTTTACTGTGTTAAATAAAATACAAGTTTGATTCTGTTTTAAATTTCAAAATAAATAATTTATTTTTCATATTGCTAATAACAATTTGTTGCTAACTTAAGACTGGTAAACTGTAATACTATATCGTCTAAAAGAATATTCGATCAAAACATTCTTGTCAGTCTCAAAAACTTAAGCGAAACTATGAATTAACCCATTGATGAATAAAAACTAGGAACTTTGGCTTTAGTCCACCTCCTCCACCGTGGGTCCAGAGTAGCCACCGAAACCTCCGGCCTGCTGTCCACAGTTGGCGCCTGGACCGCCAGCGGATCCCGCTCCCGCTGCCTGCTGATGCATCTTTGTCATGATAGGGGAGCAGTGGCGGGTGAGCTCTTCTAGCTTGTGGTCGAACTCCTCCTTCTCGGCGGTGGTATTGCTGTCCAGCCACCGAATAATCTCATTGCATTTCTCCAGGACAGAGCTCTTGTCAGCCTCTTCCAGTTTGCCAGCGGGTGCTTGCTCCACGGCCTGCTTCACATTGAAGACGTAGCTCTCCAAGGCATTTCGAGAAGTTATGCGCTGACGCTGTTTTTCATCTTCATCGGCGTACTTCTCAGCCTCGTTCACCATGCGGTCAATCTCGGCCTGCGAGAGGCGTCCCTTGTCGTTCTTAATCGTGATGTTCTTGGCCTTTCCCGTGCTCATCTCCTTAGCGGTGACGTTTAGAATTCCATTGGCATCCATGTCAAAGGTGACCTCTATTTGGGGCACACCCCTTGGAGCTGGTGGAATGCCGGACAGATCGAAGGTGCCCAGCGCATTGTTGTCCTTGGTCATCGCACGCTCGCCCTCATATACCTGGATCGATACTCCTGGCTGGTTGTCAGAGTACGTGGAGAACGTCTTGGTCTGCTTGCACGGAATGCGGCAGTTACGCTCTATCAACTTGGTCATCACTCCACCAGCGGTCTCAATTCCCAGTGACAGTGGGGCCACGTCCACCAGTAGAACGTCCTGGATCTTTCCACTTTGATCTCCGCTGAGGATGGCGGCCTGCACTGCGGCTCCGTAGGCCACTGCCTCGTCCGGGTTGATGGAAAGGTTCAAGTTCTTACCGTGGAAGAACTGCTGCAGCAGGCTCTGCACCTTGGGGATGCGCGTCGATCCGCCAACGAGTACAATGTCGTGGATCTGGCCCTTGTCCATCTTAGCGTCGGTTAAGGCCTTCTCCACGGGCTGCAGGGTGTTGCGGAAGAGGTCCGCGCACAACTCTTCGAATCTGGCACGGCTCACCTTGGTGTAGAAATCGTGGCCTTCAAACAACGCGTCGATCTCGATGGTGGCCTCCGTGCTGGAGGAGAGCGTTCGCTTAGCTCGCTCGGCAGCCGTCCTGAGTCGTCGAAGGGCGCGAGGGTTGGAGCGAAGATCCTTCTTGTATTTGCGCTTGAACTCCTCTGCCAGATGGGTGACCAGCCGGTTGTCGAAGTCCTCGCCACCAAGATGAGTATCTCCAGCGGTGGAGCGCACCTCGAACAGCGATCCCTCGTCGATGGTAAGGATAGAGACGTCGAAAGTTCCGCCTCCCAGATCAAAAATTAGCACATTGCGCTCTCCCTTGAGATTCTTGTCCAGTCCGTAGGCCAGTGCCGCCGCTGTGGGCTCGTTGATGATACGGAGCACATTCAGGCCGGCAATGTGACCAGCGTCTTTGGTGGCCTGCCGCTGGGAGTCGTTGAAGTAGGCGGGCACCGTGATGACAGCGTCCGTGATGCTTTCGCCCAGATACGCCTCTGCCGTCTCCTTCATCTTGGCCAGCACCATCGAGCTGATCTCCTCCGGAGCGAATCTCTTGGCCTCGCCCTTAAACTCCACTCCGATCTTGGGCTTTCCGCCGTCACTCACCACCTTGAAGGGCCAATGTTTCATGTCCTCCGCGATTTTGGGGTCATCATACTTGCGCCCGATGAGGCGCTTGGCGTCGAACACCGTGTTCCTGGGATTCATGGCCACCTGGTTCTTGGCGGGATCGCCGATGAGGCGTTCCGAGTCTGTGAAGGCCACATAGGACGGGGGTGGTGCGGTTGCCCTGATCGTTGGCGATGATCTCCACCTTGCCGTGTTGGTAGACACCCACGCATGAGAACGTAGTGCCCAGATCGATTCCAATAGCTGGCATTTTGTGAGTTTGTTTCTTACTTGGTAATGGATACTCAGATGTATTCAACTTATTATTCTTTTCTTCAGTAATAACTTCTTAATAAATAGCAGTTATTTTACTTAATTCACTTTATCTTGCAGTTTGTTTCAGAATGTTTAGCTTTTCAGCTGCGCTTGTTTTGCTTAACTTTTGCTTAGCGATGTGTTTAGTTTGCTTGTTTGAATTCAATTGAAGCAAAGAGAACCGAGCGGCTGTATTTATACCCAGCCGCTCTTTTCGCGAACATTCGAGACTCGCTCTCTCGAAGCACCGAGAACTGTGTGTTTTTGGTGGTGCGCCAGAGCAACGTACCGGACAATAACAGAGAGGGAGAGCCGATAATGTTGGGAGTGTAAGCAGAAATTGTTGTTGCAATCGAAATTTCTCGACATTTCTCTGGGCCAAAATACAGACCTACCGCAACAAATGGTATTTGTTTGATTAGATTATTTTTTTACGGTATTTCTTTATCGAATCTTCTCCCTTCGAGACTGAAGACAAGTATTCAAATCTTAGCCTGCAAGCCTATTTGGATGAGCCTGTAGCTTGATCGTATTTTTTGCTTTTAAATTTTCGCTTTACAGATCCCACATTTAAATCTCTGTGAATGTTTTCATTCCGTAGAAACCACGGTGCACCAGTTATAGTTCTCAGCATCTTTGATTGAGCTCGCTGTATTACTTCTGTGTAGGTTACTAACGCATTTGTTTCCCCATAGCTCGGAGCCATATTTCCAAATTGGCTTGATAACATTGTATAGAAGTACCTTCTAATCAATTTTTAGCGGAGAACGGGCATTTATTAACCAATGTAGATAGGCTTTTTTGCTTTTAATTTAACTTGAAATCACTTAGCTTCGATGTGCTTCGGAAAGGAAGTCTGTGGAGAGGAGTTCCTGTGGAACCAAGGTTTTAATTTTATAAATTAAGCCGTCGACCAGACATGGTCGAAGGACTGGGCGACATCCGGAAAGACTGCGGAACAATACTCTCAATTTTCAAATGTAAGAACTAACCAAAGTTTAAATTTGACACCGCTCTAAACTAGCAGAGATATCAAATTTGAACGTAGTAATGTTAAGAATGTCGCAGATTATTAAAATAATAACAAAAGTTTTTACTAATTTAAAAAACAAATGAACTTTTCTTACAAAAACTAAAAAATATTTCGTGGATGCACTCTAAACTACGATTTTTAAATCCATTTTTTTTTCTTAATACTAGTAGTACATATTTCGTATCTCGGATGTTATTCGATTCACTTGTTCAATGGTTCCGTGTTTTTCGCTAATCCGCTAAATACAAAGTAGTCTCTGAAGATAAATTTAATCCCTTTTATATGAAGAAGTAAACAAAATAACGCGAACTTTCCAGAATCCCAAACAAATAGCATTTGTTGCGGTAGGTCTGTTTTTTGACCCAAAGAAAAGTCGAGAAATTTCGAGTGCAACAACAATTTCTGCTTACACTCTCAACATTACCGGCTCTCCCTCTCTGTTATTGTCCGGTACGTTGCTCTGGCGCACCACCAACATCACACAGTTCTCGGTGCTTCGAGAGAGCGAGTCTCGAATGTTCGCGAAGAGAGCGACTGGGTATAAATACAGCCGCTCGGTTCTCTTTGCTTCAATTGAATTCAAACAAGCAAACTAAACACATCGCTAAGCAAAAGCTAAGCAAAACAAGCGCAGCTGAAAAGCTAAACATTCTGAAACAAACTGCAAGATAAAGTGAATTAAGTAAAATAACTGCTATTTATTAAGAAGTTATTACTGAAGAAAAGAATAATAAGTTGAATACATCTGAGTATCCATTACCAAGTAAGAAACAAACTCACAAAATGCCAGCTATTGGAATCGATCTGGGCACTACGTTCTCATGCGTGGGTGTCTACCAACACGGCAAGGTGGAGATCATCGCCAACGATCAGGGCAACCGCACCACCCCGTCCTATGTGGCCTTCACAGACTCGGAACGCCTCATCGGCGATCCCGCCAAGAACCAGGTGGCCATGAATCCCAGGAACACGGTGTTCGACGCCAAGCGCCTCATCGGGCGCAAGTATGATGACCCCAAAATCGCGGAGGACATGAAACATTGGCCCTTCAAGGTGGTGAGTGACGGCGGAAAGCCCAAGATCGGAGTGGAGTTTAAGGGCGAGGCCAAGAGATTCGCTCCCGAGGAGATCAGCTCGATGGTGCTGGCCAAGATGAAGGAGACGGCAGAGGCGTATCTGGGCGAAAGCATCACGGACGCTGTCATCACGGTGCCCGCCTACTTCAACGACTCCCAGCGGCAGGCCACCAAAGACGCTGGTCACATCGCCGGCCTGAATGTGCTCCGTATCATCAACGAGCCCACAGCGGCGGCACTGGCCTACGGACTGGACAAGAATCTCAAGGGAGAGCGCAATGTGCTAATTTTTGATCTGGGAGGCGGAACTTTCGACGTCTCTATCCTTACCATCGACGAGGGATCGCTGTTCGAGGTGCGCTCCACCGCTGGAGATACTCATCTTGGTGGCGAGGACTTCGACAACCGGCTGGTCACCCATCTGGCAGAGGAGTTCAAGCGCAAATACAAGAAGGATCTTCGCTCCAACCCTCGCGCCCTTCGACGACTCAGGACGGCTGCCGAGCGAGCTAAGCGAACGCTCTCCTCCAGCACGGAGGCCACCATCGAGATCGACGCGTTGTTTGAAGGCCACGATTTCTACACCAAGGTGAGCCGTGCCAGATTCGAAGAGTTGTGCGCGGACCTCTTCCGCAACACCCTGCAGCCCGTGGAGAAGGCCTTAACCGACGCTAAGATGGACAAGGGCCAGATCCACGACATTGTGCTCGTTGGCGGATCGACGCGCATCCCCAAGGTGCAGAGCCTGCTGCAGCAGTTCTTCCACGGTAAGAACTTGAACCTTTCCATCAACCCGGACGAGGCAGTGGCCTACGGAGCCGCAGTACAGGCCGCCATCCTCAGCGGAGATCAAAGTGGAAAGATCCAGGACGTTCTACTGGTGGACGTGGCCCCACTGTCACTGGGAATTGAGACCGCTGGTGGAGTGATGACCAAGTTGATAGAGCGTAACTGCCGCATTCCGTGCAAGCAGACCAAGACGTTCTCCACGTACTCTGACAACCAGCCAGGAGTATCGATCCAGGTATATGAGGGCGAGCGTGCGATGACCAAGGACAACAATGCGCTGGGCACCTTCGATCTGTCCGGCATTCCACCAGCTCCAAGGGGTGTGCCCCAAATAGAGGTCACCTTTGACATGGATGCCAATGGAATTCTAAACGTCACCGCTAAGGAGATGAGCACGGGCAAGGCCAAGAACATCACGATTAAGAACGACAAGGGACGCCTCTCGCAGGCCGAGATTGACCGCATGGTGAACGAGGCTGAGAAGTACGCCGATGAAGATGAAAAACAGCGTCAGCGCATAACTTCTCGAAATGCCTTGGAGAGCTACGTCTTCAATGTGAAGCAGGCCGTGGAGCAAGCACCCGCTGGCAAACTGGAAGAGGCTGACAAGAGCTCTGTCCTGGAGAAATGCAATGAGATTATTCAATGGCTGGACAGCAATACCACCGCCGAGAAGGAGGAGTTCGACCACAAGCTAGAAGAGCTCACCCGCCACTGCTCCCCTATCATGACAAAGATGCATCAGCAGGCAGCGGGAGCGGGATCCGCTGGCGGTCCAGGCGCCAACTGTGGACAGCAGGCCGGAGGTTTCGGTGGCTATTCTGGACCCACGGTGGAGGAGGTGGACTAAAGCCAAAGTTCCTAGTTTTTATTCATCAATGGGTTAATTCATAGTTTCGCTTAAGTTTTTGAGACTGACAAGAATGTTTTGATCGAATATTCTTTTAGACGATATTAATAGTATTACAATTTACCAGTCTTAAGTTAGCAACAAATTGTTATTAGCAATATGAAAAATAAATTATTTATTTTGAAATTTAAAACAGAATCAAACTTGTATTTTATTTAACACAGTAAACATTTTCCTAAGATTTTCTTGGGCTGTTTAAACAATAATTATAAATTTTCACTATTAAAGTCTTCATGGGAAATGTACGAGTATATCTTCATTTTCCGCCCAAATATGCCCCCTTATCATAAAGAGAAGTTTTCTTTTGGAAGTTTGAATTTATTATGCTGGATTAAAATCTTTACTGAAAGCATCTTAAACAGAAGAAAAATAGAATTATATATATAACAATTAGCTATAGATGTACTCTTAGTGGCGCTTGCGCGGATGCGACGCGGAAGAAGAGGAGGAGTATGCATTGGAGCTGGAGTGGTGAGTGCTGCGCGACTTGGAGCGGGATCTCGTGCGGTGTCGCTTGCGACTGCTGCTGCTATTGCCGTGATCGTGGGTGCGGCTACTGCTCTGCCGCGAGGAGCGGTGGTAACTGCTGCTGCTGCCGCCTCTATCTTCTCCAGAGTGCTTCTGGCGATGACCTCCACTACTACTGCCACCACTTACGTGGCTGCGATGCTGGCGATGACTCCGATCTCGATCCCGATCACGTTCCCGCTCTCTTTCTCTGTCTCGACGCTCATATTTGCTTCGACTGCTACCTTGGCTACGGTGCCCATGTCGTCGGACTCGCTTGCCGCGAATGCTGGACGTCTTTGATGCTCCTGAGCTGGTACTGCTATCGTCGCTGTCAGTGCTCGAACTGCTCCCACTGCTGCTGCTGGAAGAGGACGAGGTGGAAGAGTGGCGCCGCTTGCTCTTAGACTTGTGAGTCGACTTATTGGCTTTGTGCAGTGCCTTGTCGGCAGCACTTAACATGGTTGCCACTGATTCCGGCATCTGCAGAAGATTGGTGGCCGGATTGGGAACAGGTTTAAGCTTATGCGGCCCTGAACTCAGAGTGCTTATTGGTGCCACAGCTGCAGCTGCCACAACCTGTTGGACATAGCTCTGTGACTGCTGTTTGCCGTCTTTGTTGTCGCTAAAACGAGTGGTTCTTTCCTTTCGACTGGGCCGTTTCCCTGGTTTATACCATATGATTAGTGGAAGCTAGCAAAAATATATTTGGTTCACATACCATTAAATTGCTGAGGCTTATCGTGAGTAGACTGACCGAGTAACTCTCCGGGCAGTTCAGGATTGACCGGCGGTTGTCCATGCTCAACAGCGCCAGCTTCAGAGCGCTCCAGCTCCCGCTTGCGATGCCTCTGGAGGGCTAGCTCATCGCGCTGCTCTTGCTTGGCCACGCGATCCTCAATGTCGTCAATGACTTTCTCGAAGGATCGCTTACTGCGCCGTATTCGAGCCTAAAAAATAAGGTACACGTATACATATATATTTATGAGAACTTTTGAATCTCTCTACCTTTAACTCCTCCGCGCTAAGGTGCACGCTTTTATCGGCATCCGCTTGGCGCTCGCCATCCTCGTCGTCTTCATCCTCTTCGCTTTCGCTGGAAGAATCGCCATAGGCTGCTAAACCTATAATTCAAATCAATCAAGTGCTAATTGTTGCTACCAGGCTTCGATATAGATTCGGCGCAGTTTTTTTATATATTTTACATTGAATTTTAATATTTCTTTAGAAGAATTTAAGGAAACAGGGGAAGGGAAAAGATAATACAGAGAAGCGAGCTATAAAGACCAAACTGCGCCGAGGGGGACGAAAAAGATTTGACCGAGGCTCCAAAATTACAGGAAAAAGCTCAGAAAGTTAGAACTTGGCCATAGGAATATCCAATAGTTGTATTTTTGTTTTGTCATTAGGAATCGGGGTATAGTAAGAGAGGACCAAGCAGAACTCAGACTACCTCTAAACAAAAAATTGTGCAAAACAAACTTACGAACTAAACTAGAATTTGGTTACTTACCCAGGTTGCCGGTAATGGAGGACAAGGCGCTTTTGCGAATCACTTGGGCTGATGACGCTTTTGATTTACACATACATACATATATATATAGGTATATATTATATATAACGATTAAAAAATTCAGCAAGTGATTTCATTGATTTGTGTGGTGTTTCATATATCAATTCATTAATGGGATTTAAAGATTAACAGAGACATAGGATTAAAAAAGGTTTTAGCACGCTCGCCAAATAAAAAAAACTCGGCTGCAATCGCTTTGGCCGAAACGTCCGGTCATCCACGCTTAGATTGGATAGCGATAGTCCGCGATATATCCGCGCTGTCTTATTATATATGTATAACTACTTACACACACACATACACTCACGCGCGAGCGCTAGAAGAGATCGGTTTGGGATGAACTTAAGTGTAATGTATAATGTACCTTTCGCGCGGTGTGCTTTCAGAGTTTCGCCTGCAATGGCTGCAATTTCTTCGTTTGTGGTTTCCAGCAGGATTTCGGTTAGTGTCCGACGCACCACAAGCATCTACAGATGGGTGGTATTGGGTGTTCATAGATTGTTTAAAAACTATACATATGGGTTTTTGGATGTGCAGCCGGTGGCCAGGGAATGAAACTCTAGTGAAGAGTGAACGAACTGCATTCCGCAGTTTCTTCGCCTCTGAGACCACTCGATTTCATCGCCTGGCTTAGCAAACATCCGGGTCAAAATGGTGATGCCTACCAGATCCGCGAGTCTTTCTTCGTAGGTTTTACCATTGACATCGTTTTTGGTAGCTGTTCTCTGTTGTTCCGTCTGTCGGTTCCCAGTTTCTATGTGTCCACGATGGTCCTCTTCCTCATTCTCATCTTCTTCACTGCTGCTGTTATCGCCATCTTTACTTATTAATTCATTACCTATTTGCGGCTCCTTTAGTTCCACTCGGCCCTCTCCAGGCAGGTCAATGGAATCTTCGCTGTCGCTAGCCTAAATTTCAAGGGAATGTTTAATAGACAGTCTGCACTTCTATCTGCAGTCTGTTCTACTGTCCGTATGGTTCTTAGTTTGGGTTTACTAATAACGAAACCTTAGTTTCGGTTTAGTTTAGTCCCGTTTGGATTTTGTAAGCAACCAATTGGGGTGAGATGTTTTAAAAACACTTTCGGCACTATTCAGTCTGTTTTTGAGTGTCAGTTAACCCTGCACGCCCTGACCTTACTTACCACATTCGCGATGTTCAATAGATTAACAGGTGGTGTTAGTGTTTTGCTTGATACTTGCTTAACATGGTTGACCTCTTCATCAGGCTGTTGGCGCTCTAGCTGCCGCTGTTTTTCGCGCTCCATTTTCTCCAGACCCTCTCTGAAGAAAGCAACAAGTTAATAAAAAAAATTCCATTTAGATTTTTATATATAAAAGTGTCTTTTGGACACTCACCTTATCCAAGCTGGCAACATTTTGCGTTTGTTGGCATCGATATCGGTGCTGGCACTGCCACTTCCGCTTTCCTGCTGCTGCTGATGTTGCTGTGGCTGATGTGTATGTGGTGTTAGGTGATGTTGATGGGGATGTTGCTGATGTGTTTGTGGATGGTGCGGATGCGTTGGGTGTTGCGGTTGCTGCTGCTGTGCCTGCAACTGCAACTGCAGCTGTCGCTGCGGCTCATTGGGATTGCTGACGTTTAGCTTGAGCAACGAAGGTATATGCGCCGTGGGATTGCCTGTGGTTTTGCCGGACTGCGTTTGCCAGTTGTTCCATTGCTGCTTACCCAGTGTGACAGCTATAGGAAAGGATGGAGCGGTTGTTAGCTGAATATATGAATAGATGAATATCTTTTTAGCTTTTTCACTTACCCGAACCAGTGGAGGCGTCCACGGTAGCACCAGGCGCCTCATTAGCTGCAAGCCATTGCGATTGCGTAACTACTGGAGCAGGCGGTGGAGGCGTATCTGCATTTTGGACACGCTCATTCTCGTCGTCCATGTCCATATCTGCCTCACCGTGCTCCTCAAGAAGTGGAAATCCCGTCCGGACAGCACTTGGCACCGGGATCGTTATCGTTTGATGGTGGTAGTCCGGCACATTTCCGATTATAGGTGGTGGCGGCGCCACGGACATGGTGACCGGCGTAGCGTCCCGCATGTGAATCCATTGCTGGGCCAGTTGTGCCCAATCGATGCCGGCACCACCCTGCATGGCAAGCGGAAGACCGCCGCCTACAAGGGGCGTCATCATGCCCTGACCACCTCCCGGAGGCAGAGAAAAATGAGTGGGTGGCGGTGGGGGTTGCACCAGGAACTGATTGTGATTATGGTTGTGCCCATGGCCATGTTGGCCATGTACGTGGGCATGCTTGTTGTATCCCAAGTCCGCGTTGCCATTTCTACCCGGATACATCTCTGTTCACAGTTCAGCTATGTTTTTTGGAAACCCAGTTAAATTTTCCTTAGGCTTTCAAATTTTTCCTCAAACTAAATGAATTTTCTTTGACTTCTACGCCATCTTCTCACTCGACGCGTTTTGTCATTCACTTCGACACGGCGACGCCGTATGGGTCTCAATGCTAGTTATTTTTTAGGTAATTTTTACTCAATACTGTTATTTTATGAAAACTTAAAATAAAGCCCGCTAAAATTATCTTTTGTAAAAAAGTTAAGTGATAATTAGTCATTATGTCACGGAGGAAATTTATATTTATTATTATTTATCTATTTATTTATTATTTAATTGTTTGGTCAGGCAGGTTAATAACTTCTTGAGAATTATAGATGTTTTGCTATATTTAATTAAAAAGATCCTGATTAAGTGAATACCCCCGATTTCGATCAATCTTTTCTCACCTTTCATCTAGTTTTAGTTTTTCTGGAGCATTAATTCTAACCCAAGCCAAAATAAAACATTTAACAAGTAATATATATATATATTTACTTCATACTCATACATAGGAAAACACTGCGGACAAGTCAAATTGTTGGCACCACCAGCGAGAAGTTTAATATAAATCTCTCACAGTGCTGGGATGACCGGTTTCAATTTACAATCTACGTCCAAAGCTTTAACATACGAAATGCAACAACAGCAGTTAAAATATATACTTCTTATTGTATACACTAGTGAGACAGTTAATGCAAGCTTATAATACAATTATCAGTGGGTCAAACTTAATTGCATCTATAGACGAACACGTGCTACTGCCAACGATTTTGTACAGGCGTTAAATGCATACATATAACCGATATGCACTTATTTGGTGTCTCGGCTGCTGTTTGGTATCCGGTAGTAAGATAAAGCCCTGTGCGTTACCAACTTAAAGTTAAATGATTAGGAAACTAAACAAGTTTTGAATGCAGGTTGCATCTACTTTAACTCCAGTTCCAACTCCACGCCTCACAGTTTATTGGCAGTTAGCGTAAGAGGCGGTGCAGCAGCGCCCGTAATGGATTTGTGATCAGCACGCTCTTGATCTGACAGCCAGGCCATCTAAACAAAGATATAAAATTTTAGTTTCATCCAGAGCTTCATGTTTACTACACTTTTTAACACCCACCTTCTGTTTGTGCTGCTGAGCGGCGGAGTAACACCTGTCCATTACCATCTTTTCGGTGAGCAAACCATCCTCGGAGGCATAAACTGCCGCTTGCCAGGAAACACCCAGTTTGGAGATTTCTCGACCCGACATGCCTTCGCAGAGAGCGGCCATCTTCGAACACGTCTGACCATAGTCAAAGGTGTCTAGCTTAAACCGTCTAAAAGTAATTAAACGTTGTTAGTAAATGACTATTTTGAAGGATTTATCTAAAAAAGGGCTTACTTTGCTCCCGCAGCGGCCGGCTGCAGCACATATTTATCAAAGTACAGGCGCAAGAGGCGCTCACGTTCCTCCAGGCCAGGCAGTGTGAACTCCACCATCTCGTCGAGACGATCGTTTATGGCGTAATCGAATTGTTCGGGAGTGTTGGAGGCCAGCACGAGCATAAACTTAGGATTCTGCTCGGAGGTACGGTAGAGGAAGGCGTTCAGGGCGGAACGCAGATCCTCCGAGATCTTTTTCTGATGAACGCTTGCGCAAAAAGGCATCTGCCTCGTCCACAAACAGCAACAGGCCGCGTCGCGAGGTGTGCGACCAGTCGAACACCTTATGGATGGCCGTGACACCCTCCTTGCCCATGGGTGCCACATCGCCACCAGTCATAATGGCAAAGTCCATGCCCGAGTGCTCCGCCAGTTTCTTGGCGAACATGGTCTTGCCCGTTCCGGGAGGGCCGTGCATCAGTACGTTCCTATACATTCCTCGGTTGATACGGGTGTTCTTCGTGGCGATTGCAATGTCTCGTAGACGCTCTTCCAGTTTTGGATTAAGGACCACGCCCTGTAAAGCATCGGTTGGTTTGGCGCGCAGCCTCTTCAGGTAGCTCAGAGGGTTCTTTAGGGCATCTAGGAAAGCAAATCGCGACGTCTCACCCACTAGTGTGGGCTTGCCGATGCGTGCCTCCACATATCGGGAAACAACGCCGGTGGCTCCCTTGGCGGTGTACACGCCCAAAGCTAGCAGCGAAAGTCCGCCGGCAGCAGTCAACACCTTGTCCCAATCGGTAAGCATAGCCTCGGCGCCAGCGCCAATGACAGTGCCAGCGGTTCTACGAGAATTAAAAAAATACATTATTTAATATAGCTTAGTAATTTGAGAATTACTCACTTGATTCCCTCCAGTACGGTGGTGCGATGTTCCTGAGCCTTAAGACGGATCTTCTCCAGGTTGATGTCGCGGTTCTCGCGATCCACACGTGCCTTGGCCCGCAGTTCGTGTTCCAGGAGCTTGAGCCGGTTCTTCTCTTTCATCTCGATTTCATGCTCAATGGTCTGGCGGCGCATGGCTTCCTGTCGCTGAACACTCTCCTCCTGCTTGCGCAGGTTGTCCTCTTGAACGCGCTGTTGCTGCTGCAATTGATCCTCATATCGTTTACGGGACAGCTGATCCTGGTACTGGGCTCTCTGCTGCTGTTGCTTGGTCTCCTCGATGAGGGTCTTGCGGCGCTCCTCGTGATCGATACGCTTTTGCTCGACCTTGGCCTGCTCAATATGGGCCTCGTACTCTTTGACCTTGGTGTTGTACTCCGTCTGCCGAGTGGCCTCCTGCATCTTTGATAGCTCGAGGGCCTCCCGGGCGTGTTCTGCACGAGATTAACATGTGTGATGGGCATGGACTCTAACTCCCAGACTCACACGCACGCTGTGATAGCATGGCGCATGTCGGTTATGCAATTGACTGATGAAATTTTCTACTTACTTGAACGCTCCAGAGTTTTCGCCGCATCTGCCGCTCGTTCCAGCGCCGATGAATCAAAGCGGTATGCCTCCATGGCCTTACGTTCCGCCCGGCTCAATTGAGCGTCCCCGGACTTCTCGCCGGCCGTCCTGCCCTCCGGATCAGCAGCTCCACCTCCATCTGGAAACTGCTCCGGCTGCGGCTGTTGCCGGTTTCTGCCCAAAAGCCATGACATGGTGCTACTACGTTGGCGTGCGCTACTCGCGCGTTTCACTCAGAGTATAAGGAAAAAAACAATCTAGAAAATATTACGAAATTTTGACAGCTTTTGCTCAACGTCCAACAACGTGATTCTCAAGGAGTGTAGTGTGACCAGATTTGGCAAAACGAAAGCGGGCGAATGTTTTTGTTATATTTTAATAAAAAAATATAGTTTTATAAAAAAATTAACAAAAAAGATCTTCGTGTTTTTGCTCTATATTTATATATAATCTATTATTAATACAGTTCGTGTATATATAAATACATTTTAACAGCATTTGTTTAAAAATTCAAATTTGCAACAACACATATATAAAAATAAGCGCACACTTACCACAAATATACCGAAAAGATAAGAGCTTTCCATTCTAAGATCTGTTTGTTTTTCTTTTGTAATGGTAATTTAATTTAGTTGTCCAAAAGTTAGAGTAGTGTAAACGCAGCATACATTATGCTTCTGTAATTCACCTTACTTCGCAATGTTGCCAGAAGATTGCGCCGGTGTAAGCTCACCACACCAGCTGATTGTGGTAAACAAGGATTGTAAACAATAGGCATTTGTTTGATTCCCTTCCGTTTTTAGCTCTCCAGATAATCCCACCATGTTTGAACGCAACCAGAAGACGATCTTCGTGCTGGACCACACGCGTTACTTCAGCATTGCCAGCGAGGAGTACATCTCGATGGACTTTCTTAAGGGAAAACCTTCTGCGGACAGCGGTGGACCGGGAGCAGCGGGAAACGCATCTGGCGGTGGAGGAGGTGGTGGATCCCAGTTCAGCAAAAGCCTCTGGACGTGCGCCTGTGAATCTTCCATCGAATATTGCCGCGTAGTTTGGGATCTCTTCCCGGGAAAGAAGCACGTGCGCTTCATCGTTTCAGATACAGCGGCACACATTGTGAATACCTGGAGTCCCAGTACGCAAAATATGTCGCACGTGATGAACGCTATGGTGATGGTGGGGGTGCCCTCCCGCAATGTGCCCACTCCCTCAGACTACTCTGTGATCCACGGATTGCGAGCCGCTATTGAGGCGCTTGCCGAACCCACAGATGAGCAGTTGGCGGCGATGGCCGACTTTGGTCCCGAGGAAGTGACACGAATTCCCAACAAGGGTCGCGTCATCTGCATCACCTCGGCGCGAGATAACACCAGCATGAAGAGCTTGGAGGACATCTTTAATACGGTTCTGGTCCAGCAAAATGCCTTGGCAGCGCCGCCCGCTAAGAAGGGTCTGGCAATTGATCACTGCCATCTAGTTATACTTAATATTGTCCCACTGGGCGTTGAATCACTGGTCACCAATCGCAGCCTGCTTAATATCTCTCCGCTGCTCGATGTGGAGATCCACACGGTTAGTGCCCCGGACATCTCGTACAAGCTGACACACCTAATCCTGAATCACTATGACCTGGCCAGCACTACGGTTACTAACATACCGATGAAGGAGGAACAGAACGCTAACTCCAGCGCCAACTACGACGTGGAAATCCTTCATAGCCGGAGGGCTCACTCAATAACTTGTGGCCCAGACTTTAGCCTACCCACAAGTATAAAGCAAGGTGCCACATACGAAACGGTAACCCTCAAGTGGTGCACACCGCGCGGTTGCGGCTCTGCAGATCTGCAACCCTGCCTGGGACAGTTCCTGGTAACGCCAGTGGACGTGACCTCTCGGCCCAGCTCTTGTCTTATTAACTTTCTCCTTAACGGGCGCTCTGTATTGCTAGAAATGCCAAGAAAGACGGGCTCCAAAGCTACCAGTCACATGCTATCTGCCCGTGGCGGAGAGATCTTTGTGCATTCCCTGTGCATCACGCGGTCCTGCATGGATGAGGCTCCAGCGATTGCAGACGGGCCCGGAGGACGCGTCTCGGACTACCGCACCGCGGAACTGGGACAGCTTATTAAGATGTCACGAATGGTGCCACTGAAAGTTAAGGACCCGTCTGCTGCAAATTTAACGCGCCGTTTGCCACGCTACTTCCCCCTGACCACCAGCTCATCGATCCTGTTTCACCTACAGCGTCAGATTAGTTGGCTACCACACTTTCTTCACCTTTTGGTCAAGGAGGATATGGATAAGCAGGAGGAGGTGCGGTGCCAGCAGCACATCCACGAACTCTATAAAAGCGCCTCACGCGGCGATGTTCTGCCCTTCACCCACACTAATGGAGCCAGGTATGTTATAAATTCCTGAGTTATACATCTGCCCTTGTTCAGATTTAGTTTAATGCTTTATTTTACTTATTTTTACTTAGGCTAAAGCTTTCCAAGGCCAAGGACCAGTATCGCTTGCTGTATAGAGAGCTGGAACAACTTATCCAACTAAATGCCACCACAATACACCATAAGAATCTGCTGGAAAGTTTGCAAAGTTTACGAGCAGCCTACGGCGATGCGCCACTTAAATCGGAATCAAGTGCCGGTCTTTTACGATCATACACCGAATCCCCACTCTCACCTGAACGCCTGGAACCCATCAGCAGCGGCAGTGCCAGTGGTAGCAACAACTCCAATAGCCTTCTCAAGGCCAGCAAGCGTCGCATGTCCAGTTGTGGCCAAAGGTAAGTCGGCCTACCATTAGTCATCCGTTTATAATAATTTCGCTTTAGGTCCCTGCTGGATATCATCTCCTCGGCAGAGCGAAGTCAGTCTAACAAACGATTGGATTTCTCTGGTCGCCTTTGCACGCCGTTGGGGCAAGTGGCTAAACTGTATCCAGACTTTGGCAATAAGGAGAAAGACTCCGTAACGACGGGACCCACCATTACGCCGAATGTTAAGGAGGAATCAATTCGGAGTTAAATAGGATTACAGAGTCCCGACTTTAAAATTGTATTTATAGAATGAAACTTTATGAAAAGTCCTAAAAGATAACTTTTTGTTAGGAATCGGTTGAGTGTTGCAATTAAGTATTTTTCTGTGAGTTTTTGACTTGCCTCTAAGCCAATTTTATTCCTTTGATTCAATCTCTTTTTAAGGCTGGGAAAAGCCAATTTATGAAAATACTTAGAATACTTATATTACTTCATGTCAGCTGCCTCAAAATGAATTAGTTTATGATTCAATTTAAATGTTTAACTTAAGATATTATTTTCCAGCGGATGAGATCAGTCTGTTTTTGATCTTTCCCCATATCCATTAATAAACGTATTTTAAATTAAATGTCCGTTTAGTAGCTCGGTTTTTGTACTCATTTTGTACTTCAATTTCTAAAGATTTAAACATGTCAAGCATCACAGTTGCATTTTAATTTATTTCGTAATAAATTTGTGTAGCTTTGAAATTTTCAGATAGATTTTTAAAAACATTTTCAAAATTATTTGTATAAATAAGACAATGGCCAACAATTCCACTGTTCAGAAGGTGATGCACGTATCCGAGGAGGCGGCACCAGCTGTACACAGTAAGATCGGAATAATTTTATTCACATAATTTAATTACCTATTTATATCTTCAAGTCCCCATCATGGTGGGCAATGAGATCTTCGTGCTTACCCAACAGGATGTTCGTCGTGTTGAGGACATCCGGATGCTTAGCTACAATCGCCTAGGAAGTAATGGGCAGCTGTGTCCCGTGTACTCGGCTATACCGGCTCCGATTCATTACTCTCTGCCCAACACCACCAATTTATGCACTCTTGGCGATCTTATAAATCAGGCTTCAGAGAAGAGGGCCAAGATACAGATGGACATTGAACATCATTCGAACTCCACCAAGCAGGATTCGTGTCCGACTAAGACTGTTGCCAGCGTGACCACTCAATTGGGTTGGTCCAAGAGCAAGGACGAATCGGGAGGCATTGTTCCGCATCTGCTATAGCGCCGGAACTTCAACAAGTGGCCTGATGAAGAACACCGGTTGCCAGCACTGTCCCTTCATGCGATAAAAATCACTCCAGCTGCCAGACACATTACCTACCTGATACAAAACCAATTGGACAGCAGCCGCCGCAGAACGCGTGTTGCCAAGCTCAGACCAGTCCATGTCGAAGTCAAATTGTGAAAAGAGAAGTTCAGAACGCAAGTTGCCAAACACAGGCTTTTTCTAATACAATTACAATGGTGAATAGGGAGATGACACAGAAAGCATGTTGCCAAACCCAGACCTCTTCCAGCCAAAGTCCCATTGTGAAGGAGAAGCCACAAAACTCAACTTACCATGCTCAGCCGCCTACAGTCTCCACGGGCTGTAATACGTCATTTAACAATTTGTTGGAGACTTCCTCTGCTGAGTCTTATACATCGAACGAATGTGAATATACGTTTCCGGAACAGAGCAATCCATGTCGGCACTGTAAATCGCAGCAGACTTCAACGAACAGATTTCCACCGGAGCAACCTAGCACATCCCGTCATATTCACTTCGATCTCAATCAACAAGATGTGGAGTATGAGGACTTTGAGAGAAAATCTTCTTCTCAGCGATCGGATCGTAATTTAAGAAAAGATGACCAGGAATTTTTTAAAACTCTTCTTAAGAGTAGAACTGTATATTCACGAGCCCTGAACAAAACTCCAGTTTCCAAGCCAATCAAGAAACAAGTAGGTCTCATCGATCGCAATCCCTACTACGATGAACTGCACTTACAACGAAGGCAGGACTCAGCGTACACCAACAAACAGCATTGATGATTCATTCTAATTGTTACCTCTAGAGAAATACCTTCTTATATTTCTACGGGCTTTTTGATTCAAAACTTATGGTCTTAAAAAAAATTTACAATATGTTTTAAAATCTGCTATGTTTAATAATTTTTTAACTTACACAGATAGGCAATAAGCTATGACTTATTCTATTTTAAGGCCTTTAGAGACGTACTTTTGATAAGACGTTTCTTCTTGGGCGGTGCCCCCTGTTCAGAACTGTCCTTCTGAGCTTTATGCTTTTTCGGCTTCGAACTGGGCTCCTGAGGTTGATTGGCATTGAAATATCTCTTAGGCTGCTGATGCTCACGTTGTTCCCGCTTGAGCTCCTCCGGCGTGGCAATCCGCAGGTAGAAATCTTTCAGTAGTATTTTGAAGTCCTCTACCAGCGTTTCCCTCAGAACTTGGACTTTTCCATTATCGCAAGGTGTGCAGGCCTGTAGCTCAGTGACCTTGAAGGTTTTTGGTGCGAATTCAGTGGGTGGCCGCCACACAATAGCCAGTTCCTTTCCACCGTGGGGATTATAAAAAAATGCAGCAAAGTCCGAGTAGGCAGACTAAAACACAGAAATAAAACCATTGATTTCTTCCCAAATAATTTACAGGCATTAATATCTTACCCGCAGTTGCCTCACAATCTTTGCAAGATTATTTGCTCCTGCTCGAGGCAAGTTAAAGTTTGGCTGCCCAAATGACACGAATGGTGATCCCAGATCGTAGGTTAATGAATTGGACACCAGATCCGGCTTGAGTTGTATAACCAAATCGTAGCCCTCGTTGGAAGCTCGGAACAATTGGGCTGGCCTTACAAACCTTAGATCCTTTGACATCAGGCTGGATTCGATAATCTCAAGAGAATGACGGGCCAGTCGCGTTACATGTCCTAGTACCCGTTGGCTGGGCGATTGATCCGAAGTCCACAGACGACCGGAATGCTGCATATCGTAGGACGTTGTTAGAGCCAAAGGAGGATAACTCTGGCGGTCGCTACGATAGCTGTGCTCCAGATCAGCAATTTGTTGTTCTAAATTACATTAGATTGTTATTCTTCAAGCTTCTTATACTTGTAATTAAGTACTTACCCTGCCAGCTATTATTAAAGTTAAGCAGGAAGAGCTCTCCATTAAAATCGCTGTGGGCGAGCAGCTGCAGGAATCGAATGAATCCGGTTTGGGGCGACGCTATTGCCTGTGGAGCATAACGCTGTTGGAAAAGATGTGCCACCAGAAGTTCTGTGGCCACGTCAGGCCAAAGTCCATCGTCCAGCAGTTGGGTGGCCAACCAACGTTTGGCCAACAACACAGTGGGTCCGAAAGCGGAGTGTGTTTGATGGAGCGAGTGCAAGGCCCCGCTCACTTTGGGAAGGATGTAGTGTTGGCGCTCCAAAGATCGACTAGCAGGATTGTCTACGTAAGTGGTTATGCCACGTTCAGTAATTTCCTGCTTAAGCAACGCCAGTTCCTTGTTGTGGGCAAGCTCTATCAGGAAGCAAAAGCCCTGCTTTAGAACCATTAGACCCTCGGCAGTCATTACCCACCGAAGATGGCACTTCTCCTCCAGCTTCTCACCAATTTCAATAAGAAAGGCCGTTTTCAGAGCACGCAATGCAGTCAATTGGTTAGGCCATTTACCGCTTTGACCTAGCTGTATTACTACTCGTTGCACATGGCTTGACAAAATATGGTTTTCTGCGAATCGCGCTTGAGGCAGCACTGGCTGTGGCTCACAGTATCGGAAAACGGGTGAGGTGCCTGATATGGAGACGATTTCAAGTGGTAGATCATTAAGTCCGTGCAGTTGCCGTGCTAACTCATCATAGCAGCGTATAACATGTGGACTCAATGCCTCCGCGTCAGTATCCTGATCCAGTGTCAGCTTGGTCTTTAGCTTATTAACTTTAAACCATGGCGACAGGCGGTAGACCTGATCCAATTCGGCGGCAATATATTGCACATCCTTGCTATCCAGCTGTAGGTGATGCTCCAGCAGATGTAGCACAATCTGACGTACAATTAGTCTCTTCTTGGCGGGAGCATCCTGGGCCGTTCCCCAGACTACAGCTTCGGTGATGCTACCATCCTGAAACCGTCGAAGGTTTGATCTTTCTCCCCAGAAACTTCGGAACTCCGCAGCTCCCTCAGGATCTTCGTTGGTGGCGGGTCCTTTGTTTAAGACCTCGTAGGCGTGCTCCGGCTGAAGTATCAACCCCAACTGAATATAATTTCCTATGACAGGAGCTTTGTTTTCCACTGGCCAGGGTGTAGATTCCGTTTCCAAAGGTAGTATAGAATGAACACGCTCAGCTAGTCCCTTCTTAAGGAGTCTAACAAGTAGGATTTTATATGTTGTAATATGAAATGGTTAAGAAAAACTCTTTTAGCCTACTTACTCTGTCAGTAATTGCAGTAGCTGTGGGTAGCCGTAATTAGCATAATCATATTTGAATTTTGGCTGGGAATGCAGCATAAGCATCTGGTTAATACTCGAATAATTGGTAATCCTAAGAAAGGAACAGAATTATATAGTTAACTTGTGAAGTAGTTCAACATTTTTTTAAACTTACTTCAAGATGTTATCCACCCTACTGTACAGTGGGCACTTTTGCATAAAGATGAGCGGGAAACTGTTAAGTTTCATGTCATTTAATAGTTCCACCGCCAGTTTAGCCTCCTCCCGAACCCTCTGGTACAGGGAAAGCGGAATATTTGCGCACAGATTGTGCTGCCCAGTGAAGTCCATGAAACAAACGTCATAGTAAGTAGCGAACTTTGCTAATTCTTCTGTCTGGACTGAAGCAGGTGCCAAGGTGATGCCTTTGGTCCAGTCCGTGTTGGCCAGTTGGTTCCATACGGTACGTGCCACCTGATAACTGCTGCTCGATTGGTGCAGGATGCGCTGCGAGTTTAGGTAAACAATAAAAGCAGCCAAGATGTGGGAGCCAAAGCCGCTGTAACCTATATCCAATTCTCGCTGACGTAGCCATACTTTAAGAAGCAGCAGTCCATCCTGGAAATTGCGCCTGCCCTTAAAAGTCTTTTCTATATGGGCCTGGTTCTCGGACAAAGTCAGATCAAATAGCACGTTGGCGTTATAGTGCTGTGTGGGGGGCAGGGGCTCATCCTCATCCCACTCGTCACCGTATAACGAAGGCCGAATATTGTTGTTCCAGGGAACGAATCTACCATGCTTCAAACTACTTGGGGGGCTAGTGATGAATAGGCGCACCTGCAGATGCTTGGTAACCTGCTTAGCCACTGGTGTCAGCTCCAGCACTGGCTTCAGTGGATTGTTTGCGTGGTAGTTAAATGTGAATTTATCTTGAGCGTAAGTTGGAGACTCCTTCATTCTCTCCGTTACATATGTCAGGTACAAAGCTCGCTTTTGGTCATAGCGAAGGTTAAGGTAATCATCTTTATGAAGTGATTCCTTTGGCATTTCAAGAGCCACATCCACAATAATTTTAGGACCCAGTAAAGTGCCTGTGCCTGCAGCTCCAATTAAATACGGTTCCCTGGTGGGTTTAGAGAAAACAAAACCGGTCGGCTTCTGAGGTATTTTTAGTGGCACTTCTAAATGGGTCCGCTCCATCAACCCATCCTTTAGCTGCCTGGTGAAGGCAGTGAAAGATTCCAGCCATGTTTCAATGAAATCTATGTATTTTTGTTTAAGCTGGAGCTCCTCCAGCATTTCCTTGACCTGCAGCTTAAAAAGATTGGAGTGGAAGAGGTTCTGGGTATCGCGCAGTTCTTTCATCTCCTCCAGAGTGGGTGGCTTAACATTCTTGGCGTCATCCTTCTGTTTGAACTTGTTTTTTTTTGGCTTAGCAATAGGCGTTTGATCTTTTTTGACCGGTGTGGGTTTTGGTTCATCAAAACCATCGTCGCTGCTGGTTGCCGACTGCTCGCTGTGCTCCTTGGTGGGCGAATCATCTTGGGACTCCAATCGAGCGGCGTTTTTTAATGGTTTTTTCACCTATAACCAGAAAATACTAGACCAAAATCTGTAATTTATAAATATAAGTTCTCTTACCAACTTCCCTGGCTTCCTCTTATTTTTTAACATGACGTTCGTATCGTATAAATCCTTAATAAAATGTAATTTATTTATTAACTGGAGAGAGAGCAAAACTCGCACGTGTTGCAATTGTGGTATTTTGATAATAGGTATTTTATCTAATTTTCTAATACGGTCACCCTAGTTCAAGGCAGTAGCGTTTTTTAGTCCTAAATCAGTCGCGAAAACAAACTGTAAAAATCGAACGTAATTATAATTAAAAGATTGAAAAAGTTTATACACTAAGATTAAAAATTAAAAACTACTTTGCAAAATAGAGACGTGATGTGTTGAATGCTAATTTCATCAGTGCCAAGTGTAATTGTCACCAGATAAGTTATAAGCCATTTCCTTCTCATCAGTGATATATAAACGACTTCAGCAGAAGCTTGTTTAAATAAATTAAACATATAGCCGGTGAAGATATACAAAAAAAAATGCAAAGTTAATACAGTTTTTAAGTGTAGATAAACAAAGTTGCCGGCTAATTGGCTACGCCAGGCAACGGTATTTAATACGGTATTTGTATTTCATAATTAAGTTAAATTTTACAAATAAAAAACTATTCATAAACTATACACGTCATTTACACAAATCTACATAAGAAAATAAAAGAAAATTAATTAAGAAAGCTAATGTAATTACCTAACTTGTTCATGATCAGTAATTAGTATTAATTTCGCCTTTGGTATATCCTTGCTTTCCCACCACGGTCATATTCCGTCTCAGTCCATGTTCGAGTGTGTGTGTGTGTGCAGGCAAGGGAAAAAATCGCACCATTTTTCTCGTGCTCTCTTGCGTGCGTTTTTGGTCTTTCGAGGATAGTTTCGTTGGAAATCAAACAGATAAAAGACCAGCTAAATATGTAAAAAGTAGTGAATTAAGTAGTTAAAGAGATAGCGACGAGCGCACAGCTGCAAATCGAGTTGCAAATTTTATTATACGGTCCGAACGTGTGTAACTGTGTCTGTGCGTGCGTGCGTTCGTGTGAGAGTGTATGGGTGAAAAAATGAGGCGTAGTGAAAATGCGTGCAAAACTGTATAAAAGGTAAATCGCCAATAAAGATTTGGCTAATTAATTGGGTCTACAAGTTGTCCAATTGGGTTGAAATCAAAGCAAACCAAACAAAATGATGCGTTGGCAGAAAGGCGGCCCATTGAAAAAATATGGCCAAAAGTCGAGTAGTTACACCCTCTCTCTTACGCCTCTTTCCCCCACTGTCGCTGTTTCTCTGTTACTCTCTCGCTCGCTTTTTGGCCACCGCCGCTTTAGCTCTTTTTTGCATCGAATAACAAAACGTGAAAATTTATAAAAATAAACTAAATCACGTACAGAAATATTTACTTCGACCTTGCGGAAACAGATATTTTTCCCACATTTTACATGGAGCGGGGGCACGGCAACTAATTGGCCTAATTCTGTGTATTTTTAAGATGTGTATTGAGTGTCACTGAGGAAAGTTTATCTTAATACTAAAAGAATATTTTGTTAAAAGTTTAAAGCCGGAAATTGAGAATAACACTCCAGAAATAAAATGAAAATCAATGAGAATAAGCAAATTTATTTAGCGCTCTCAAATCAGCACTTTTTAGTGTGACCGGTCTGTGCGCGGTCATACCTAACATACTAAATAATATACCACAATATTATACAGTCTATAGTTTTTTTCATTTTTTAACATGAAAAAAAAACTTATTTGATATGATAATCAATTGAAATACCTTTAAGAAATTTGTACGCTAACTAGTAGTTAGTAACTAAGAAATTAAAATGATACTTAAGTATAGAAGTCTAGCTTTTTATGGAATATTTGTTTTCATGATGTTTTACTGTGCTGTTTATTTATTCTTATTTTTAATGATATCTTTTTGTTTTTACAGATTGCTATGATTTCCAGGCGCTGATGCCATGTGCTGAGTGTTTAAGCGTGCAACTGACCGGTTAAATTGTTCATAACTGAAATTTAACTACACCTTTAAAGCAGCAGCAGCACTTTTGCCTATAATGTCAGCTGAGACTGGGAGGGAAAAAACATAGCAACAAACTGAATGAATACAATTCGGAGTTTCGGATTTGTTGTCACACAAATTGTTGGATAAAATGTGCAAAAGTGTGTTTGTCAAATTGTTTAGCCAAAATTATTTGTTTACCTAGTTATTCAGCGTAGCACGAGACTGTTTTCCTTACTACTATCAACAACAACAAAAACATACACACACCTGGCTATTTTGCACCATCTGAAACTGAAATTAAGTCCGTAATCGTTTAGCGGAAAAGGATTATCATCAATAGAAATATTATAATTCTACGAAAAATAGCCCGCCTTTTGACATCTGTACACATAACTACACTACAACACATATAAACGCCAACACAAAATTCACAAAAAAAAAAAAAAAAAAACACCAACAAAGCTTAAAATTCAAGGAGATGCTGCTCAAATTTCATACTTAATGTCAAACAACAACAACGACGACCTCATAGCAACAACAACAGCAGTTAGAGAAGAAAAAGGAGCAACAGAAATAACTGTAAGCTAGCGAATATAGCGAGAGGGAGGGAGAGATCATTACCCACACCTGTCGTCCAGCGGTAGAGCGAGGGAGAGAGAGGGCGTCGGATCTCCCGTGATCTTCCGTGTGTGTTGTTCGCATGCGCGACATGCGCGGACGCTAAGTGAGTGATTGTGTGTGTAAGTGCGCGTGTGGGCGTTAAGGATATTTCGCTTAATTCGCATGCATCCCACAGATCGTGGTGATCCTTCAGTTTGTTAATCAAACAGAAATCGCATTTCGGATCAAACCCATCGCTAAACAGTAGCAGCAAGAACAACTACAACTACAACAGCAGCAGTAGCAGCAGCGGCAGCCGATAAAGATATATTATCAAAATTCACGAAAAGGCGAATCGAGTTCTTGAGCCAAAATTCAAGCGAGATTAGCTAGGCGAAATGCAGCGACGAGAACGGCAAGCAAGGTGAGTTAAGATTGTCAAAAAATCAATGGTTTCCTCCAGCCAATTTAATGAATACGTAAATTCTTAAGGGGTTTAGGCAAATTTGTTATACTAAATTACAAAAAATGTTTAAGATTATTAATCGGAATATTCAATGTTGAATTTAAACTTATGTGGGATGACAAATAAGAAACGCTAATTAGTATAAAAAAGATAAATTTAAACCAATTTCATTGTCATTCATAGTAACAACTTTTTATTTTTGTTTTCTAATTTGAAATAACCCCCTTAAGAGATCATTGAAATGGCGCCCATCACAACAGCTTATGAAACCGCTTCTTAGCACTAAAATCCTAACAGAAAGCCAAGAAACCCTAAGCTTGTCCACTGGTTTCGGATCCTGCTTAGGAATCTGAGGCCTTGGTATGCTCCAAATAAGCATTGTAGTTCAAACTCTACTTCCAGATCCCAAGCGATACAGAAATCGTGCGTAGAAAATATCGGCTTGTGACTATTTTTACAATTTTGCAATGATAAGCGCTAGGAAAACCACACTCTTTAGTATAGGAAGTGTTGGTTGATCTCATAAATTTCCCATATACGGGTTTTATACCCTTTGATAGCGATTAGATTACGTTTTGAAAGTTTGCTAAAACTGAAGAAGTTTGTATAGGTATATTATACATCCAATAATATTTGAAGAGCAGTAATTATTCAGCCTCAATGAAAATCAAGTTCTCTTGGTATCTTGCTGATCCTCCTATGAATTAGTTGTCTTAATTAGCAGCTTTTACCACTAATTAGTGTGTATTTTTTATCAGTGGTATAATCGTAAGGCTAAAGTCTTGTCTTATGATCAACAAAAAAAAGTACATTTTTATTGAATTTCCTAGCGAATACTGTACTTTGCCATAAGTTCAACCATCAGTTGAGTTTCGTTTTTGTTGCTGCTACTTTGGTTTTTCTTTATTTTTCTAAAAGATTTTATTTTTAGCTAAAAGATGTTTCTATTTAAACTTGTGTGTTTGATTTGATTTTATTTTCGCAAGTGTTTTTCTGCTTTTAGTTTATGGCGTCTGCTTCTTCTCGTCTCTGGCACGCCAGCCAAATTAAGAAGAAGCAGACCAATCGGAAGGGGGTGAATGAAATGGGTTTCCAATCCCAATACATTATATACCCGCATATGTGGGTGCATAATATATGGCGTCGGTGTTTGTGTAAGGAAGCGGGAAACGAAGTGCACACCAACTCACGCACATTATAAATATTTTATAGGCATTTTAGTTGATCGACCTTCTTGTGTCAGGCCGACGGAAGGCACCTTTTTTGCCTTGAATGTGGGTCCAAAGTTGTTGTTGCTGATGATTTTACCTCGCGTTCGCTTATTGACATTTCTAGGTTCTTGTTGGTCCCAAGTCTTTCTGTTTTATAGTTCTATATACGCACATTTGTTTGCTGTTGGGTCTTCCCAGTGTTTGCTGTCTGCATTTTCGGGTCTTCCAGCTATATTTACTCACACAAAGCACTTGTTTGCTTGTCGCTCATCACGATGCCTTCGGGACAAGCGACTTTGGGTTACAGTTTATTGGGGATTCGTAAGATGACCTCGGGGAATGAAATACATGAGTGACGCTAAGATGGGAATCATTTCAGAAGGCCCTGTTGATCCAGTACTTTAGAATCCAAAGTTTAGATCCTTAAACTGGATCGAAAAAAGTTACAAATAAGAAAAAATTCCCCTTTGTTTCCTTAAATACCAACACAAGTTTCAATTTACAAACTCCTTTGTTTAACAATCCGGTTTATCCCAGGAAATTGAACTCCTCAAGCAAAAAGTGGAATTATAAATGTTTGCTGACCCGCTGTAATTAAAGTAGGTTAGGTAATAACTGGTGATGATTGAGCCTTTTCTCTTCCATGTTTATCCAACAAAAAGTACGAAAAAGCAAAACAGAAATCATGTTACAACATTTATTTTACACGCCACTGGCAGTACATAATAAAAGAAAACGGAAAGCAACTAACCAAACTAAACTAACGTAATTTTGTTGCTAGCCAACGAATAAACTTACTCACACACATCTGAATATTCACATTTCCACACATTTTAGATGGAGACAGAGCGAGTGTAACGTAAAACAAACTTTTTGTATTACTT